ACATCTCGCGCACGGTTGCCAAGTTTTTCTCTCTATGATGTTATCGTCCAAACATTTCATTAATACGTCGGCGTGAGTGAATAAGCCGGACCAAAAAGAACCGCGTTCCGAGCCGAAAGCGAAATTGAAAGAAAATTCTCACCGCAAAGGCAGCCGCAAATAATTTTCCGGGACGATTAATTTAGCTGTCTCGTGCAGAAGCAAAATTGCCACCTACTTGGATTTATTAATATATGCGGCGGCGTCGACCGCTCGAATGGAGGGCAAAAAGCCGCTGTCATTTTCATCCATCGCGGAGAGACCAACGTGATTATTCGGAGCGAGAAAAAGCCACAGAACAGTTTCTCTCTCTCTAAGGCAGCTGTAGTGTAAGTTAGCAGCCCCTGGTCCGAGTTAATTTTAGTCGCGAGTCAGATGCAGGGGTAAATTTAGACCGGCAGCAGCAACAGCTCTGCCGAAGAAGAAGTGTCCACGTAGGTAGCAATCGCTGCCAAGCCAGCCGTCGCTCCATGCAAATGAAACGAAATGGGCCCCTCGCCCGCTGCTGCTGGAGGATGTAATAATTCCTTAAGCGATAAGATGCCGAGCGGTTTCATTCAATCTCATTGTGCTTTTCAAGAGATGCACTCTATTGTGCGCTGCTCCCTGCTGCAGACCAATCGCTCAAAAATAATCAGTCTTTTGCTTTCTCCCCTGTCCGCGCGACAAACGATATTTTTAGTACTGCTCTTTTTTTAAATGGTCTCGAATTTCATTCTTTGCCAGGTTTCAAAGTTCCAAAGTTCTAAATTATTAAAATTATTTGCAAAACAATAACGAATTTGTATTAATTAATTTGATTTAAAAAGTTTTAAATTAAAGTTTAACTTTTTATAATTTGTATACAAAAAATTTCCCTTTTCATTCACATTAAAATATTTCTGTCTTTTAATTAAATTAAATTTTTAAATTGATCACTTTTTTACTTGGTAATAAAAACTCTACTCTTTTAACCCGAAACATTTAAATAATTAATATTTTATTTTATTTAAATAAAACTGTGATTTGGTTCCACTAAAGAACTGATGGATTAAATCCCAAATTAATTCTTGTTAAATTATGTCATTTATTAATTTTTTTATTAAGAGCATGTTGAATTTGAGTTTAATGGAATCTAAAGAAAAACCAAATTTAACTCATTTTTAGCATGATTTTTAAATATCAAGTTTTACGTTAAATAATTGTTTAATATTTAAAATAGTGTAACAATCGTAATAATTAATTAACTTGGAGCTTTCAAAGGGCCGATATAATCAGTTTGAGTGCCAGATTGAAATGCTATTTTGTTGAATCTCTCGTTAGGCTCAACGACTCGGCAACTTTTGGCACCGCGCGCTCTTCAGGATAGAGCCTCTCTCTCGTTGCCGTGCACTTAGCGGAAGAACCGAGTCTGCAATTTTGGCGGTGGCTTTTCATTGCGCAGCCAATCGTAGGTTAACAACCCTTTTTCGGGCGCAAATTGAATTAATCCTGGGCATTAATGTGAATTGCCCGCCGCCGCCGCCGCACCATCCCTACCGAACTTCTCTCGCGTCACTTGCGCTCAAGATAGCTCCATTCACGATCGCCTACGCTTGATGGCAGGAATTCGCCCTAATGGCGATCAGAACTTGAAAAAGCCCCTTGCCAACGCAAACACACCAACGCCGCGCCCGTGGATTACTTTGCAATTAGTTGCCAAATCGAAATTACCGAGGGGCTCAATAAAGATGGAAATTTGTGCTGCAGCGATAATATTTTATGCTCTTCCGCTTGGCTGCTTAAAATTATGCTTAAAAGAGGGTTTTAATCTTATTATGATATGCAATTTGAAATGGAATGCTGGAATTTCATTTGCATAATGCTTTTAATAGCTTCAAATTAAATGTTAATAAACTTAGCTCTCCAGAGATAAATCCAAGGGACAAATACTAATAAAATAATAAACAGTACAATATTAAAAAACAGATGAAAAAAAATTTGATTTTTATAAATTCTTCAAATTTATTTTATTCAATTTGAAATTTTAATCAATATAGAATAATAATTTACATATATGTATTTTCTTTTTACCTTTCTATGGACTTCAAAATAATTTATGTAAAAATCTCACTTTAAATTTTTTGTTTCATTAAAATTAAATTAAATTTTCAATTTATTAAAATTAACTTATTGTTAGGCAAAAAAAGGAAAATTGCTAATATTGAAAGAAGCACACAAAAGAAATAGTTTGAGTTTAAAATTTATTTTAAAGAACTGAAGTATAAATCAGTTTAAATCAATGGACACTAAATTTATAAAATAATAATTTATAGCATCTAAAAAACCGCTTTTTTATAAATTAATTAATGTTAAAAGCTAATACGTGGACTATAAAATTAGAGCTCTCAATTTTTTTTTTCAATTAATAAAAATTCAAGAATTACCCAAAAAAATTAATGATTCACCCTATTTTGCGTTAATCAATGTAAAATTTAAAAATTAATAACTGTAATTCATCCAAAAATTGAAAATTGTTCTAATCCGCAGGGAAAAAGTAAATAGCTTTTGACACAAGTGCACTCGTGTCAGTCACGTTTGGAGGGAAGAAAGGAAGGAAGCACTGGTTTTGTCTAAAAAAAAAAAGAAAGGCACTCGCGTGACTGTGTGATTTAGGGCTCGCGGGTGGAGGAAGTTCCCGTTTTAAAAAGAAGAAAATGCAGCCGCAGGAAGGAACAACAACGCTAGTGGTGGCAGCTCTAGCATGTGTCGGCTCGGATGCGGCACATGTGTGTGTTTCTATCCGCGGCCCCGCGGGTCGAGCACGCAGCTGCATGCGTCTCCTCCCGCGCGCCGATGATGCAAAAAACGAGCGAATTATTTCCGTCTTATATCCCTCCCACTCTGCTATCAAATTAATTAGCACAGCAAACGGCGAAAAATGTGTTTTATTTTTCATACCTCCGAGGGGGTTTGTTTGTTGGCGGTTTTTGCTCCGCAGCTACTTTTTTGCTCGTCAATTCTGGTTGAGAGCAAATGAAGAGGTGCTTTTAACGAATTCAAAGCACAAAAAGCAGAGAGAAATGAATAAGTGGACTCGGCCGTTCAAGTGTAGCTTTCGCTTGAATAAAATATAATTACGCCATTTCGATGGAATAAGATGAAAAAAAAACGTTTGTAATCACGAATCTAAAGAGTAAATTGACAGTTATTTCGTATAAATAAAATAAACTCGTTCAAAATGAATGAAATAAAAAAAGGTCAACTTGCCGAAATTCTAGGATTTCTTGTATCATTAACGAAAAGGAGGAGTTGGAAAAAATAAACATGGGAATTGCAGAAATTCTTTTAGCAACTACATTGCAAAGTCAATCAACAGTGTTATACTTTTTTTTAATTTTCCATTATATTTTTCCGCTTAGCACCGTCCGTAAAATTTTTAATTCTCCTTTTCAAAAAATTTGCTACCAACGAATGCTCTCCATCAAGTTACCGGTTTCTAATGTCCCTGAATTTGCTATTTCCTTGGTCACGAGGCATTCTGTGAAAAAAATTGGCTCCTTTTACCCACTTTTGCAATTGATTTTAAAATATTTCACAAAAAACCATTATATTTTGGTTTCTGAATCTAAATTTATCAATGCTATAAGTTGATGTAAATATTTTCACTTTATCTACGATGGACAGATCCAGGAATTAAATTTTATGTTTCACCGAAAAATTCAAATTTTTTTAATCTCTTTGTTTTCAACCATAAAGCAGAGAGTGTAAAGAATTAAAATGATAATTTAGATAGATTTTCAAGTCAAATCCTCTTTCAGCACCCAGCCTTAAGTCAAGTCAGCCCATTGGCATCCCTCTTAAGTTTCTTTCTCGCCTAAGAAGTGATCTCGGAGCGCCTTATATAGTCACGGGTCTAAATTTACCGGCTTTGAAAAACCAACGCCCTTCTTGGAATGTATTTATTTATAAATTGTCAGTCGCTCTTGTTCGATCGGCCGGCGAGCGCCAGGAGCAAGAAAATGTAGCTCTTGTTCCTCTACAAAGTCCCATGCACACCCGGAAGCGTTTTCTTTCTTTCCTACTCACTTCATCCCCATAAAAGAAATCGAAAGTGGATTTTTTTACCTGGTTTAAAGAAAAGGTCCCTTCTACACTTGGTGCACTTGTCTCAGGAGAGAAAAAAAATCATTTTTACCCTAAAAAAATTGCAATTCCTTGATATATTTTAGTGAAATTAATTGGCAAGTGGCTGCGGCTCCAAACTTCACCAACAGACTGAATGCATTCGTTTGTTTCTTGGGAGCTCTGGCAGGAGCTGCCCGCGATGACGTCACCTTATCGTCGCCCCTGACCCCCATCCACGGTCATGAATTGGCCCCTCAGTCAGTGGCCGGCCTGCTCTTGCAATTTGTCCACACGCTCGATGACATTCCATTAACGCGGGCGTTACTTAATTGGTTTAAATTTATTTTTGGTTTGGACTTTAATTATTGCTATAATTTTTGAGCAAAATGAAAACAAGTAAAAGTCTGGCCTAAGAGAATATAAAGGCGAAACTGTTCAAAACATTGGCCGCGGTGGCTGCCAAGTGCGACAGTGTCACTTAGAACGCGGCTATGTGTCTTCGTGCTCCTTAAAATAAGCATTCACTTAAAGCACAGAGCTTCACTTTTTTAATATAGTAGAACAAGAATTTAATTTTAAATTAGTTATAATTAAGGGAAACTTTGCTGCTTATAAAAAAAATTAATAAAGGTGTAAAAATTTGAGAATTAAAAAAAAATAGCAATTCAAATTAAAAAAAAATGAACTGTGTTAAATATGAATAAAAATTTAAATAATTAAAAAAAATGCTTCAATCGCAAAACAAACAAAGAGACTAAAAATATTATATATTATTAAAAAAGGAAACACCTCGTGAAATGTAAAAAACATAATTTTTATAAAAAAGAAAGTTAAGTGAAAAAATTTATTAATTGTTTGGTTAAATTTGATTTCAGTGCAATGAAAATTCTGCTGATGAAGTTGCCGCGACCGTGGATTGTGGACGAGAAGAAGGACGACGGCTACACTGCGCTGCATCTGGCCGCCTTGAACAACCACGTCGAGGTGGCCGAGCTGCTTGTGCACGTGGGCAAAGCAGACCCCGACCTGCAAAACGTCAATCTGCAAACGGCGCTGCACCTCGCCGTCGAGCGCCAACACACCCAAATCGTCAGGGTAACGTGCTGAAAATTTTCTAATTTAAAATAAGATAATAATTTTAATTGGAAAAAAATTGTAGCTTCTGGTGAGAGAAAATGCAAATTTGAACATACCAGACAAGGATGGCGACACTCCACTGCATGAAGCCTTGCGCCACCACACTCTGTCCCAACTCAGGCAGCTCCAAGATGTTCAGGATGTTGGAAAGGTGAAGTTTTATTTTCATCGATCATTATTTGAATATTTTAGTTTAGTCTAGTTTTATTTAGTTTTTATAGGAAATTTGAACAATTTCTAATGAAATTTGTATTTTTAATAAAAATAAAAAATAAAATAATTGAAATATGATATATTTTACTTTTTTTTTTGTCAAAATAATATTATTTACATTGATTTACGCAAAATTGTAAATAATAAGTTTAAAATTAAGAAAATCTTTGCACGAAAAAGCCTCACAAAAAATTAAAGTCAAAAAGTATTTGTTTATTTTATCAAAAATCAACACCCTACAATTTTTATAATTTTATGCTCACATTTTTGATAGATTTAACTTGAATGTCTTTTTTGTTTTCTGTAATAAAATTATTAAAATGAAAAAAATATAATACTCCCACTTTTGCACAAATTAATAACAATTTTGAAAATTTGCAGCTGCTCATGGGCCTTGGAAGTCAAGGCGCAGACAAGAAATCGTCTGCTTCGATCGCCTGCTTTTTGGCCGCCAACGGAGCTGACCTGACCATCAAGAACAAGAAGAACCAGACTCCTCTTGACCTTTGTCCTGACCCGAACCTTTGCAGGGCTCTGGCCAGGTGCCACCGCGAACGGACGGTGCAGTCTTCAGTCGGAGATGAGCTTTGGTACTCGAATTAATTAATTTGCCGAATATCCCAGTTTTATGAAATTTTTATGTTCAGGGACTCGAGCGAGGGCGGAATGGAGTCGTCGACCGCTGGGGAGCAGCTGGACGAGTGCCTGGTGTGCTCGGACATGAAGAGGGACGCTCTGTTCAAGCCTTGCGGCCACGTGGCCTGTTGCACCGCCTGCTCTCCTAGGGTGAAGAAGTGCCTGGTGTGCAGAGAGCAGGTCCTCTCAAGAGTCAAGGTTAGGAATATAACTTAGAAAAAATGAAATAAAGAACACATTTTTTTCTTGTGGAAATATTTTTAAACTTAAAATATATCAAGGGAGGAATTTGTAAGTGCCCATTTTGATTTTAGAGGAAAAAGGACACAACTGGAGCAATTGAAATTGATTTTATAATTTTTCCTTTATTTAAAATGATATTGAGGGCGATCCAAAAGGCTAACTTGGCCCAGGCTAAATTAGCCTGGCCCTGGCTACTTTAACCCGCCATTGAATTTTGCTGGAGGGCTAAGTTAGCCCGGGGCTAAGTTAACTTAACCTGGGCCAGGTTAGGCTTTTGGATCGCCCTCATTATATTTATATTAAAAAGAGAACAAATTTACTTCACAAATTGCTATTTTGGGTAATGAATGTTTTTGATGCTGTAAAATTAATTAAAGCTTGTATGAATGATTAGTAATAATAGTACTTTAATATCATTTCCTTTTTCTATTTTTAATTTGGTTAAAAATAACATTAATTCCAGATTGAGGAGTGCGTTGTGTGCTCAGACAAGAAGGCTTCTGTCCTGTTTCGGCCATGCGGACACATGTGTGCGTGCGACAGTTGTGCAGCTTTAATGAAGAAATGTGTCCAGTGCAGGGCTCAGATTGACCAAATGGTGCCATTTATAGTTTGCTGCGGAGGCATTGGTAAGTAAAAAAAAAATAAAAAAAAATAGAATCATCTCAAAATTGTTTAATAATTCCAGGTTCTGTATTTGATGTGAGCAATGATGCTGATGAGGAGCTCTCCAATGCTACATGTAAGTACCACAATGCTTTGATAAAATATTATAATATATTTTTTATGGTTTTTTTTATTTTTTTAATGATAAAATTTAAATAATCAATCAAGAATATTTTCCCAAATGATTTATAATTAAATTCTTATAGCGTCTGATTTGAATTTTGAATTTCAGCCTCAAGTGACATTGCACCGAGCAACACAACTACCAGCAATCTCAACAACCAAAACAACAACAACATTAACAATCCTAACAATTACAATGCTCCTCTGATGAACAACGGCTCACGGGACACAACATCCACCGCCGACATTCAAAAACTTCAGCAGCAATTGCAAGACATCAAAGAGCAGGTTTTTATATATTTTTTGTACTGTTAAATTTTTTTATATAATTATTTTTTAAAAACGCAGTGAAATCTAATGTAAAATAAGCACAAAACATTCATTTATTGAGTTTTATGTGTAAAGATTCTCATAAACTTTAATTTTTATTCCAGACCATGTGTCCTGTCTGCCTGGATCGACTGAAAAACATGATCTTCCTTTGTGGACATGGAACATGTCAGATGTGCGGAGACAAAATAGGGGAGTGCCCTATATGTAGGAAAACCGTAGAAAAGCGCATCCTCCTCTACTAGGCCATTCCGGATTTAATCACATAAGTAGCTCCTCTGATTATATTAATATTATTATCGTCAATTTAATCTCAAGTCGGCTCTTCCGAACTGCACTTTGGCCTTGGTTGCAAAACCACGATGAGCAAAAGATAATTATTCTAATCTGATCTGATGATTGATAAACAGGAATTGCCATTCCTGTGCCTTGTGAAAAAAAATAACTATTTATTTCCACTGTTATCAGCTAAGAAGGCCATTTAATCTTATATTATAGTCAACCAGGTTGCAAAACATTTGCTTCACCTGTGCCTCTTTAGAAGAAAAAAAACAAGGCTCTTAGCTTCTTACTGATGATCACGTCACTTTCGTATTTGACATTAAATAACTGGAATAAATTTTTTTAATTTTTTCAAGCCTTTTCATCAGGAAAATTATTAGGCTTTTATTTTTCTAGAGTGAGAGAGTTAGGCATATTACGCTGTTGGATTTATTTCTTTGTAAATCTTGCTTATAAATGAAGATTATTATGAAATATGCTAAAAAGTTTCAAAACTAAATAAAAAAAAACATATTGCCAAGAAAGAGTTCTAAATTAAAGTTATCCCGTACACAGGAAATAATCATTTTTTCGCAAGTGCCAATTTCTTGAGGGCGATTCTGTCCAGTTTGTTGCCTTTGCTCTCAGGCAATTTATCAACAAATTGAACACCCCCGTGCAGTTGCTTGTGCTCCGGCAGACGTTGGGCCACGAATTGCACAAGTTCCTCTTCGGTGCAGGTCGCGTTTGCTTTTCGGCGGACAAACGCTCGCGCCACGCTGGTGCACTTTGGGTCTGGAATGTCCACAACACCCACTTCCAAAACGTCCTCGTGAAGCTTGACAGTGTTTTCGATCTCAGTGGGGGACACCTGTGGAAATACAATTGATTGAAAATGGAACAATTCATTTAAAAAGTTTTTTTATATTAATTAATATTTATCATTAGTATATTGATAATGGTAACAAATTGTGATCTAATCACTAAAAAATTTTTTAGCCAATCTTGTAATCATTAAGACAAAAAAAATCCAGATTAATATTTGACCTATATACATTAGTTTCAGAATGTATTGACCCAATTTAAATTATTATACCATATTTTTCACTTACAAAGAACATGTAGTACTTAAATAAGAAACTTGTTCTTTCCAGCACATAAATGTTGGAATGTTCGTCAAAGAATCCAATATCTCCAGTTCTGAGCCATCCATCTTCTACCTCGTCTTCTGGTAAAACAGGCTGAAATCAAGTTTTCAGTATCATTTTCACTTTTTCTCTTTGAAGTCTCACCTTTTCGTGACCTTCCCTGAGGTAACCTTTCATGAGCGTCGGTGCTCTGACATAAATCAAGCCCCTCTCATTTGGCCCGAGCAGGTTTCCACTGCTGACATCAACAATCTTTGCTTGTACATATGGCGACAGTTTTCCAGACGACACGCTTATTTCCCCTGTAAAAGTTTAATTTTTTAAACTCATTCCTCCAAAGTTGCAATAATTATAAAACCTTGGTTTTCTTTGGTAGGATTTCTCCTGTTGCGCGGCGTATCAGGTGTTGTGTCCACTTCTGTGCCGGAAATTAAAAAGCACTCGGTCATTCCATAAAACTGAGCAATGCGCACATTTGGTAACTTGGTGTGAATCAGATCTGCAGTGGCTGGGTCGAGCACTGAACCCGCTATGGTCACCATGTGAAGGAAGCTCAGGTCGTATTTTTCGAGCTCCTCACTCCGGATGAACCAGTTTGCCAAAAACGGATACATCAAGCAATTTCCAGGCTGGAATATTTTATTAATATATGTTCAAATGATATTGTTTGGTCTTTTCCTTACTTTGTACTTGGCCAATTGTTCAAAATACGTTTCCTTCTCGAATTTGCCGAGGTGGTAAACCGACGAGCCGTTGGTGATGGAGCTGCAGGAGGCCATGAAGCTTCCCGCGGCGTAATTGCTCATGGGGGTCATGAAGGGCCACATGAAGATGTCGACTGACTTGGGGTCGTAACTCTGCATCATCAAGGTGAAGTGCGTGTGGCAAACGCCTTTTGGAAGTCCAGTACTGGCGCTTGTATTTGGGATGCAAACTATGTCTTCTTTCGGGTTGATTTCAACATGTTCAGGCATGGCTAAATAATTTTCCAAAAGAATATTGTGTTTAATTGTTAAGCTTAAAATCTAGTCGTTTATTATTAATTTAAAATCTATCTAATAATATTTTCTTAACCTAAATTAATATAATTATATTTTATCTTTTTTATTCATGAATCTAATCAATTTTTAATTACATATTTATGAGTTGTGCTTAAAATTAACTTATTAAGATCAAAATAATTTTTACCTGAGCCGTCATCCTCCAAGAGAGATTTAACAGTCGCAACTTCTGGCTTGCCAACATCATCAAAAGAAATTATCTTCACTGGCCAGGGCATGATTTCAACCGACTTCTGCACGAGCGGGTACGTCTCCTTGTCCACCAACACATATCGCGCCTTCGAATCCTTCATCTGTCGCGCGTACTCCTCTGCAAATTATTTCAATATTTATGTCTATAATTATTTATTCTTATCATTTACCTGGCGTTTCTTTTTGGAATCCGCCGCGGACGGCGCCGTTCAATCTCCAAACGCCCAATTGAATGATGTATAGGACGGCCGTTTCATAGGTGACGAAATATAGAACGTCTTTATTTTTAAAACCGAGTCGGGTCAAGGCGCTGGCCACTTTTATAGAATCCTTCTCAATGTCTTTGAAATAGACGTTGACTCCCGTAGACGCATCTTCCTAGAATAATTTTTTTCTTTTTTTAATACTTGTTATTAAATTTAATTGTGGAATACTTGCCACCCAAATTGTGTCGGTTTTGTCGAGTCCATTTTCTTTCAGCCTTTTCAGTAAGTAATCCACAATGCTCATTTCTGGCAAAAGGCTCGGGTCTCTATCGTGGGGTGATTTGAAGATCCGTGGTTCGGATGACACTGAAATTTTTTATTGAATAATTAAGTGTATTATTGAGAATTGTAATTAATTAAATGTTGCGCGTACTTTTCCTTTTGCTTTTTTAACTTATAAAAAGAACTTCCACTCTCCACTCCGACCGAGAACAGTCACAAACAGAAACCTAAAGTGGAAATTTTGCTTTATATGGTATTGAATCCTGCTTGGACAATCTATCAAATTTCCCACCCATAAAAAAAAGATAATTTTTCAAGTCAGTTGAAAACTAGAATGAAACCGAGATAGATTAATGACTATATTTCTTTTCGCGTATCTTTGACAGCATTCAGCTCCAATTCACACAGTTTGTTAAAATTCTCCTCTAATCTATAGAGCAACTTTGCACAAGACCCTTTCCGTGGCGTGATATTATCATCAGATCTTAACACACCTGCCTCCTTCACTAAAGTACGCACTTTTTTGTAGGTGGGTACAATGCTGAAGTCCTAAAAACGTTCAACGTTCAAAACGATTTTATCTTTCAGACCATATTTTGGCAGTGGCAACACTCAAAATTAAAATGAAAGTAAAATAACAATATATATATGAGCGGAATATAATTTCTAAAAATCAAAATAAATATTTAAATTGCTGAAATTTTTACATCAATTGACAATTGACAATACCCTATGTATGCAAAATATGTGAAGTTAAAAAGCATAAAACAAGTCGAAATTCCGATTAAAAAGAAATAGAATTTTTTTTATTTATTCAATTTTTTTTAAATAATACAACGGCACTTCATACTAGTTTCAGTCATGTTCATGAGCAAGAAAATGATAAGAAAAAAATTTAAAATTTAAAAAAACAATAAAATTAAAATCAAGAAAAAAAGAGTGGTTTTTTTTAATTTCAAAATTAAAAAAAAAATATTATATAAACTCGACAAATCATAGGCACCAAAACTTCAATCCTGTAGAGAGCCCAAGTCTTTTGTGAACAGACTTAATATTTTAAAAGAGCTGGTTTGATGAATTTTACAAATTATTTGAAAATTAAATTTATTTTTTTAATTAAAAGAAAATAAAACCCAGTCATCACTTCTGATCATCAATGATTTTAAGCTCTTATCGCAGGGGAATCCCAGGTCGTCCCAGGTAGGAACAAAATAATATTATAAGATAAAAAAAATAAGCAGAATAAACAAGATACTAACTGTCGATGTTGAAAGTCCAATCGGTCCAAGGCAAAAAACGTAAAGAAGTGAATTGAAGTAATTCCCAGAGCAGCAAGTAAACACACGTGTGTGGTCGAACGCGTGTCCGAGAGAGCGAACAGACTACTGCGCCGCTTGGCTGAAGAGGTTTTTTAAATGCTGTTTGTCAACTCTAAATTTAGAATTCGGGTTCCTCAAAATCTCTCGCTAAAAAATTTGCCCCGTGATGTCACATGTGGTGATCTCTTATCGCGATGCGCAAATACACAAAGCAATAAAGTGTTGAGTTTGATGGGTAATTGTCCTTGATATTCTTAGAGACCAATTCAATTATTCCGCTTATCGCTTGCAAAAGTATCCAGCAGACGTTGAGCGTTATTAGTTATTAGCAAACACTACAAAGTCTGCAAATTCTTTTATAAATTATAGTGATGCAGTTATATTGCATTTTTCATCAGTAAACAATCAATTTTTATTTTTTTAAACAACAATAATTTCAATAATGAAAATGCTCTAAAATTTATAGCATTATATATAAAGGAAATTTTAATGAAGAACTACAGGGATATTTAAGATTTAACATATTTGATGGAAATAGCTTTATTATTGATTCTTTATAAACATTTACAGATTCCATCAATTAAAAAAACCCTATATCTATTTTTGACATATTTTAATCCTTTGTAAGACCTTAAATGATTCAAAAACATATTTCTGACTGCACAGAAAAACTGAACAAAAGAACACTACGCTTGATCTTTTCACTACTTAAACGTTACAAGTTTTAATTTAAAGTTTAATAATTAGGACGCGAGAACTCAAACTTGGCATTCACTGCCTTTTTTTTAGAAAAAATCACTCAAGTGCTAATTTCTTGAGGGCAAACCTGTCCAGTTTGTTGCCTTTGCTCTCAGGCAACTTATCAACAAATTGAACACCCCCGTGCAGTTGCTTGTGTTCCGGCAGACGTTGGGCCACGAATTGCACAAGTTCCTCTTCGGTGCAGGTCGCGTTTGCTTTTCGGCGGACAAACGCTCGCGCCACGCTGGTGCACTTTGGGTCTGGAATGTCCACAACACCCACTTCCAAAACGTCCTCGTGAAGCTTGATAGTGTTTTCAATCTCAGTGGGGGACACCTTCAGAGAAAAATGTCGTAATAATTCAATAAATATTTTACAAAGAAATAAACTTTAATTTAAGAGCTTGAATAATTTCATTAAAAAATTTGTTAAATTTAAAAAATCTTTGCCGTAAGAATTTGCACCTAATAACTGATAATGTAAATAAATTTTCACTTACGAAGAACATGTAGTATTTAAATATGAAGCTAGTTCTCTCCAGCACGTAAATGTTAGATTCCTCATCAAAAAACCCAATATCTCCTGATCTGATCCATCCATTTTCTATCTCATTTTCTGGTAAAACAGGCTGAAATCAATTTTTTAATATGTATCATGTATATTCTCTTTTTGTTTTTGAAATCTCACCTTTTCGTGACCTTCCCTGAGGTAGCCTTTCATGAGCATGGGCATTTTGAAATAAAATATGCCTCTCTCGTTTGCTCCTAACAATTCTCCGCTGCTGACATCGACAACCTTTGCTTGTACATATGGTGCCAGTTTTCCTGAAGATACGCAGAACTCCCCTTTAGGATTTAAAAAAAATTATATTTTACCTTCAATATTTTTAAATTAAAACCTTGGTTTTCTTTGACCGGATTTTTCCTGTTGCGCGGCGTTTCCTCTGTAGTGTCAACCTCAGTGCTGGTTATTATGAAGCACTCCGTCATTCCGTAGAACAGAGCGATGCGCAAATTCGGCAATTTTTCGTTAATCAATTCGGCGGTGGCTGGGTCCAGCACGGAGCCCGTGATGGTGATCAATTTGAGGAAGCTTAGGTCGTATTTTTCCAGCTCCTCGCTCCGAACGAACCAATTTGCCAAAAACGGATACATTATACAATTTCCAGGCTGAAATGAATTATTTATTATTAATAAAAATTTTTGTGAAAAAGATGCACAATTTTGGTGCAAAAACAATCAACGCGTGTTTTGGTCTGGACGATCAATAAGCAAATTAGTACGGACAGAGGCGCCTGGAAAACCAACACAGGTTTTCTCATTTTACATCACAGAAGTCAGAAATGCGTTTTAACTTTCCAGAGACAATAATCATTACGTTTGTTACTTACTTTAAATTTAGCCAGTTGCTCAAAGTACTTTTCCTTCTCGAATTTGCCGAGGTGGTAAACCGTCGAGCCATTGGTGAGCGAGTTGCATGTGACCATGTAGCTTCCCACGGCGTAATTGCTCATGGGGGTCATGAGGGGACACTTAAAGACGTCCACAGACTTTGGGTCATATCCTTGCGCCATCAAATTAAAGTGCGTGTGGCAAACGCCTTTTGCAAGACCAGTACTGGCGCTTGTGTTTGGGATGCAAACTATGTCTTCTTTCGGGTTGATTTCAACATGTTCAGGCATGGCTAAACAATTTTAAAAAAATCCTTTATTCCTTTTTTTAATACTTAAATAAGATTCAAAATTGAATGAATGAACATTTCATTAAAAAATTGCACTAGAAATTTGATTAACATTTTTACCTGAGCCGTCATCCTCCAAGAGAGATTTAACAGTCGCAACTTCTGGTTTGCCAACATCATCGAAAGAAATTATCTTCACTGGCCAGGGCATGATTTCCACCGACTTCTGCACGAGCGGGTACGTCTCCTTGTCCACCAACACAAATCGCGCCTTCGAATCCTTCATCTGTCGCGCGTACTCCTCTGCAAATTATTTCAATATTTATTTCTATAACTATTAATTATTTATTCTTATTATTTACCTGGCGTTTCTTTTTGGAATCCGCCGCGGACGGCGCCGTTCAATCTCCAGACTCCTATATGGATGAGATATAGGACGGCCGATTCATAGGTGACAAAATAAAGGGCGTCTTTATTTTTGAATCCAAGTCGGGTCAAGGCGCTGGCCACGCGTTTTGAATCGCGTTCGACGTCTTTAAAATAGACCTTGACTCCAGTCTGCGCATCCTCCTAATGAAATGTTTTAAATATCAAATTTCAGGTAAATTTTAATACTTGCCATCCAAACATCTTCAGTTTTGGCTCGGCCGTTTTCCTTTAGCCTTTTCAGGATGTAATCCACAATACCCAATTCTGGCAAAAGGCTTGGATCCCTATCGTGTGGCGATTTGTAGATTTTTGGTTCCAACGGCACTGAAAATTCAATACATAATTCATTTTTCCTATAAAAAATTCTAAGAATTTCCAACATACTTTTATTTTTTACTGAAATAGACTGTTTTCGTCTTCACCGGCCAAAGAAAATCCACAGAATTGAGACTCCAACTATAAATTTTTAATATACTTATTATCGATCATGGTGGGGAATCGGTAAAAATTCCTAATTATCGCGCATGTACTAAAGGGCAAGAGCTGATTAATAAAAAAAAAATCAATTACTTTTCCTTTATCTTTGACAACGGGCGCTGGAACTATCTCCAAATTTTTATGTGAGCCACTCAGAATACTGGAATGTTTATTATTATCTTTAAATCTACTCGGACATGTATACGGATCTCAATTTGAAATAAGCTGAAAGCTTAATTATCTTTATTGAACTTCTCTGTTTAAGTTGCGCGCGTTTTATTGTGAGAACAGCAAGAGTATAAGTTATACATGCATATCTTTTTATGTCTTAATAATAATACTAAGGAATAAAAGTAAATAAAATTTTTTATGTAAAATATTTTAAATTATTCAACGTTCTTCAGAACTGCACTGGAAGAACTATAACATCTCTATAGGACCAATCTAGACCGTGGCTTCAAATTGCACAGCTTATTTATATATTCGATTATAATTGACCGATGCCGGGTCTAACAATAAGAAATATTCTTCTTAGCTTGGCTTATTGCAAAAGAGACTAGAGCTTATTATTTTTTTCTTATCAGAGATTAAAATAAATTAATATAAATTAATTCAAACTTTTTACATTTTTAACTAACCAACCCAATCAAACACGCTTTCGGCTCACCTGAAACCTCTTCCATCAGTTCGAAGCCCGCCGGGAGTGGCCGATAAAATTAATCAAAGTCACTTGATTCAATTTTCGAAACGAAACGGAATTCAGACACTATAATATGGTTTCTAAAGTCACACCTATCTATTTATTGTGCGGCTGTGCGGCACCGAGGTGTCGCCTTCTCTGGTTTGAGGGGAAATACAGGAGGAGTTGGATAAAATAACATCACAGGCACGCAAAATAATATTATTCTAAAAATTACGATATTAATAATTGTCACAGCAAAAACAGTTTAATAATAAAAATGGATTGGAGAATATAATAATTAATTATAATTTTCTGTAAATTTTATCTTCACAGCAGATTTTAGGGAATTCCAGATTGAATTAATAAATTAAACAACTTTTGTTACGTTAAAACAAAACAATGTACACCTCACCTAATGTTCAGTTCTAAAACAGTGCAAAGCAATCCTCTTTGAAGGAATTCTTATCTCGACTAACGGCTTAATTGAGAAAGTCAAACTCGGGCGTGCCCTTGTGACCGCAACGCGAAATAAAATTGCGCGTCAAAGAGCGATCAGTTTAATTTTGGCTGATGATGTTTCTTGAGAGTTATTTAGTTTAGAATTCAGGCTCTTTGCGAATAAAACCGTGTAAAAAATCTTGCTAAAAAGTTGACCCTTGAAGTCATACAGAGATAAAAGGCATGGAATAATTTGCGATGATGGCACCTCTTCTTATCACATTAAGTAAAGAACCAACATTCTTGTTTTGCTCAATATTTCTTATCAAGTGTCCTTTTCTGGGCTTGCAGCAGAGAAGGGAAGCTCCAATCTTAAATCAATTTGGGGTATTTTTGTTTATTTATTGTGATGATTTGATTTAATAAGGGGCTTTTTTGTCAGTTAAAACTTAATATTTATCATTGTCACTACTGACAAAATTTGCAAAAGGAAACGAAATCAAATATATTCATCATCTTTCAGCATCATCAAGTGGCCGCCAAACTAACATTGTAATAAGTGATACTTGATTATAAAAAAAGTTCATTAACACAAAACAAAACTCGTAATAAAAGATATAATTGCGTGGTTCCTTCTGCACAGGTTGACAAGACTCCGTCTTGGCTTGACCCTTAAAAAAAATAATAATAATAATAAAACAGCAATATAAATGCCCCTCTTGTAAGGGAAATATGCAACCTGAGGAACTTGGCTGTAGCGCAGGTTGCCTACAATTAATAATATAACCATAAAAAATTCAATATTAATTTTTTTCTTAATCTTAATTAAATTAACATGGTGTTGCATGGGATTTTACGGATTTTATTTACTAAAATACTCTTTAATTATTATTAAAATTGTTTAAACGTAATTTAATTTTTTAAACATAATAGCGCATAATAGTTTAGTTATTTTGGACGTAAGAACTGAAACTAAATAAGAAAAAAGTTAATATTCAGCAAGTGCTAATTTCTTGAGGGCCATCCTGTCCAGTTTGTTTCCCTTACTTTCGGGTAATTTATCAACAAATTGAACACCCCCGTGCAGTTGCTTGTGTTCTGGCAGACGTTGGGCCACGAATTGCACAAGTTCCGCTTCGGTGCAGGTCGCTTTTGCTTTTCGGCGGACAAATGCTCGCGCCACGCTGGTGCACTTGGGGTCTGGAATGTCCACAACACCCACTTCCAAAAACGTCCTCGTGAAGCTTGATAGTGTTTTCGATCTCGGTAGGGGACACCTTGAGTGGCAAAATTTAGTAATTTAATTCAGATGTTATATGGTGAATCTTTTACTTTAAAACGATAATTTGAATGAGTTAATTTTTATTTACTTTGCATAATAGACTCAAAATTATTTAGTTAAAACTTAAAGTCCTTTGACATAAAATCATTTGGACCTGCTAAATGGACCTATCAATTTTTACTTACAAAGAACATGTAGTATTTAAATATGAAGCTAGTTCTCTCCAGCACGTAAATGTTAGATTCCTCATCAAAGAATCCAATATCTCCTGATCTGATCCACCCGTCGGCTGTCACATCCTCTGGTAAAACTGGCTTAAAACAAGTTAAAATTTAGTGTCATTTTCCCTGTAACTTTTTGTAATCTCACCTTTTCGTGGCCTTCCCTGAGGTAGCCTTTCATGAGCATGGGCGTTTTGAAATAAAGAATGCCTCTCTCATTTGTTCCTAACAGTTCTCCACTGCTGACGTCAACAACCTTTGCCAGTGTATATGGTGCCAGTTTTCCAGAAGATACGCAGAACTCCCCTTTAGGGTTTTTTAAAATTATATTTTACCTTGAATATTTTTAAATTAAAACCTTGGTTTTCTTTGATTGGATTTTTCCTGTTGCGCGGCGTATCCTCTGTTGTGTCAACCTCAGTGCTGGTCATTATGAAGCACTCGGACATTCCATAGAACATAGCAATGCGCAAATTAGGCAATTTTGCGTTGATCAGTTCGGCTGTAGCCGGGTCTAGCACTGAGCCTGATATTGTGACCAATTGTAGGAAGCTTAGGTCGTATTTGTCAAGCTCCTCGCTCCGGATGAACCAGTTTGCCAAAAACGGATACATGAGACAATTTCCAGGCTGAAAGTCAATTTTTCTTTTTTATTAAAAACCGTATATAATTTTGAAGCCAGAGGTCCAAGATGCATTTGAAACATTTTTCCTTTATAGATTAGAATACAGTATAATATATTATATAGAGAGATTCCTTACTTTGAATTTGACCAATTGTTCAAAGTACTTTTCTTTTTCAAATTTGCCAAGATGGTAAACCGTCATGCCGTTGGCGAGTGAGTTGCAAGTGGCCATGAAGCTTCCCACGGCGTAATTGCTCATGGGAGTCATGAGGGGAAACTTGAAGATATCAACTGACTTTGGGTCATATCCTTGCACCATCAAGGTAAAGTGCGTATGGCAAACGCCTTTTGGAAGGCCAGTACTTGCGCTTGTATTTGGGATGCAAACTATGTCTTCTTTTGGGTTGATTTCAACGCGCTCAGGCATAGCTGAATAATTTTTTATAACCAGTTTAGAATGCATTCCTTAATTTGTTTGCATTTAATTTGATAATGGGTTGAATATATTATTTAATTTGTTTAAGTTGAATAGTTAATATCCTGCTTATTATTCAATAAAGGTTTATAGCGAATCTTTTTTATATATACCTAAGCCGTCATCCTCGATGAGTGATTTAACAGTCGCAACTTCTGGCTTGCCAACATCATCAAAAGAAATGATCTTCACTGGCCAGGGCATGATTTTGACTGTCTTTTGCAAGAGTGGGTACGTCTCCTTGTCCACCAACACAAAGCGCGCCTTAGCTTCTTTCATCTGGCGAGCGTACTCTTCTGCAAGTTATATAAGGTACAATAATTTATTATTAATTATATTTCTTGACATTATACCTGGCGCTTCTTTTTGGAATCCGCCTCGGACAGCGCCGTTCAATCTCCAGACTCCTATATGGATTAAATACAGGACTGCCGTTTCATAAGTTGCGTAATAAAGAACGTCTTTATTTTTGAAACCAAGTCGGGTCAACGCGCTGGCCACGCGCTTAGAATTGCTCTCAACATCCTTAAAGTAAACCTTTACTCCAGTTGAGGCATCTTCCTATTTAAATATTTTTAAATAATCATTAAAAATGTGAAACCAATGCGAATCCTAAGTAAAACAGTGCAACTACAATAAATTTGATACTTGCCATCCAAACGACGTCAGTTTTGGCACGGCCGTTTTCCTTTAGCTTTTTCAACAAGTATTCGACGATGCCCAATTCTGGCAAAAGGCTTGGATCCCTGTCGTGGGGTGATTTGTAGATACATGGTTCCGATGGCACTTCACATTCAATATAATTTTAATTGGTATTGCTGCCTAAAATAATTATAAGAAAATCCAACGTACTTTTATTGTGATCTTAAATATCGACCACTGCGACTGTTCGTCCTCACGGGCAACAGAAAATCCACAGAAGAGCGACCTTAAATGGAAATTTTTTCTTTTTAATTATCAGGTATTGGTGGTGGGGAGTCATCCAAAATTCCCACTGATCTCACTATCACACGTAGGCGTAATGGACATGAGCTGAATAACAATAAAAAAAATTGTCAATTACTTTTCCCTTATCTTTGACCTTTGACAACAGACGCTGGATCCAGCTTCAAATTTTTATCTTATATGATGAGCCACTCCAACCAAGGGAAGGTTTTATTATTACCTCTCTGGAGCAATTTTCAACAGATCTCAATTAAACGTCCTGCATTAATGCAATATCATTTTTAAGCTCCTCCGTCGCATTCCTTTAATTGTGTGAACAAAGGTCAACGCGCCGCATAGTAAAACTTGAATTACATATTTTATTTTCATTTAAGATGTAAGTAAAGAAAACAGGATTTCCTTGTTTAAAAAATATATTTTTATTAAAGAAACCGCTCTTCAAGAATCTTGTATTAATAGTCGTCAGCAGGTAGCGCGTTTGCTCATGAAATAGGGTCGCAGACTGTGACCAAAACTGTAGAGCCGTATGTTTGTTTGAATAAAAAATAATTTGCCTGCTTTCTTCACTTCCACGATCGTCTCCTCAAGGACCTCAAGTACCAATTTCTTCAATCAAATCTCTTAATTTCTAAATAATATTTATTATAAAATATAATATAATGATTTCAATCTCGTCTATCTTCTTGGGAATGGCACCAAAAGCGCTTGATTAAAAAAGACGGATTTGAGGATTAAATAATTACCATCTATTTATATAAATTTTATCTCTTCATCTCCATACCAAGGGAATTCCAAATTGAAATAATAAATTCAACATCTTTTGATGATAAGAAAAAATAATATTAATTGCAACTTAATCTCCAACATCACAAACAGTACATAACAAATCTCAATGAGGGAATTCCGATGCAACCAACAACTTATAGCAAGTGAGCAAGTGCACTATCGCGTCCTTGTGGCCGCAACGCTTGATGCGCGTCGGAGAGCGATCAAATTTATTTTGGCTTAGGTCTTATGACGTATTCCGAAAAGTTGACCCTCGGCTTGATAAAAGGCTTGGCATAATTTGCGTTGATATGGCACCTCTTCTTGTCGCATTGCCACCAATTTACTTGTTTTGCTTCATATTTAATTTCATTATTGAGGTGAATTTTCATTTTTAAATCATCACTTACCTTTGACAATATTTGCCAAAAAAAAGCTCACTCAAACAAATGCTTCTCCTTTAGATGCAACCTGTCCAATTAGGCTGTAGTGTAGGTTGCATAAAAGCAATGTTCTTATGTAAAAAGTTAAAAAAAAATATTCAGTAAAATTATTATATTCATTAAATTATCGTTAGATGCCATTTTTTTTTATTCTGTTTATTTAAAATCTCACATATTTTCATATTAACTTCTGCAAATAAAAATAATTAGGCTTTCATCTTTTTAGTTCTCATTTATGATACCAATTTCATTACTTCAAGAGTGAAAACTTTGGAGGTCTGATAAAAAAAAAATTGCTTAATTTATCCATATTGGACTATTATACTTTTTCCTTCTTGTCCATTGCAGTATTTACAGTATCTTAGCTCTGAAATAGACGAGGCCAATTTAAGGTGTTAAAAGAAACCTGTGATATAATAATAACTAAAAATAAATGGAAAAAATTACTTTCAAATTTACCATTAAAAATTAGACAGTTAAGACAAACTTAATCCGAGTTTTAAGAATCAAATATTTTTGTCACACTTTATTTCATTTTTTTATTATTCAATTAATTTCATAAAACTTGTACAACATATTATGGATTATGGTTTATATTATGGTTTACAAGCAATTCCAAAAGAGGTCTTTCAGGCAAAATAACATAACTTAACAGAAATTTTCCTGACATAAAGGGCGGTTTTCCCACTAATACAGTCTTTAAATGCTACAATTTTAGTCTTCTTGGAGGTTTTGCAGGAGCTTTCAAGACATTAAATTATTTCATTTTTCCAGTCTTCTTCTCCTCATTTTCCAGTTCTATTTGCTCAGCAGCCTGAGCGTATGGGAACTGGACATCGCACTGCGGCAAAGCTGACTGCAGATCTTGAATCACAGATTCTTTGCTTTTGATTTCAGGCAGATCATAGAGCAAAATTGACTGCAACTTGCTATAACGATAAAACAGAACATGCATTAAATATGAATTAATTTGGCAATTTAATATCAATAAAAAGTAAATTTCAATTTATTAACATTTATGCACTGATAAGAAAAAGTATAAAGCAAACCTTAGCTCTTTAACAGGCTGCAATCCTTGTGCTGTGATGTTGCCACAGCTGGAAATTTGCAAATGCCTCAGGGAGTTTTTCAAAATTGGCAAATACTTGAGGGCGTCATCCGTCAAATAGCCACACTTATGGAAGACAATTTTTTCAACCTCCGTCAATCCATCTGAAAAAATTTAAAACACAAAATTAAGTCGTGCGCCAATGTAGGTGTGTAGCATTTATTTTTTAAATAAAATTTTATACATACTCAAGTGTGGGAAGCCACAATCCATGACGGCCGAGTCGGTGGCATTGATTTCGGCGATCTTCTGTACGTAAGTGGACGGCAAAGAGTTGTAATCAGTCAAGTATGATTTGCTGTTTTTCCACTTCAGCCCTGCGCCGCACCTGAGCAGCCACTCAGCACACGCCCTGTCAGGTCCCACATCCTTCACCCGGCTCGGGTCAAAGCTGGACAAATAATTTTCCAGATTAATTACATAATTCTGAATAAAATTAATATATAAATAGATGGTTTTTACGACTTACCGATTAAAGACTGAGTTCAACCATCCCCAGATGTACCTTCTGCCGACATAATTCATAATTTCTCAATCGAATTGCAAATGAATCAAACTGTAAGGAGACACACTATTTGACTATTTATATCCTTCCTTCCAGTAGATTCTGTTTTCCTGCGCGTACTTTGTTTTGTTTACCATGGCTCATAGGTTCATTGCGCGCACGCGCATAGGAGAGGAGGTGACGGCTTCGAACTTCGAGCCGAAGCAAAAAGCTGAAAAGACTTGAGCCATCGAAGCATAAATAAATAATGCAGTATTAAAATAGAAAAAGTTTTGGAAAGAAATAAATAATTGAATGAAATTAACGGAAATTAACAAATAAAAAATTAATTTTTACCTATTTCCAGTTTGAACTTAATGATTCATTTTGGATACATTATCAGTCCAGTATTTTTATTTTATGAATCAACACACATCTCTTTTAGTTCACCATAAATCACTTAGATTCCAGTAACCCAATTACAATTAAGTATTTTGTATTGTATGTCTTCGAGAAGAAATTGTATTGTATTTAGCGTAAGAATCAAAAATCAAGTTGAGGGTCAAATGAGTCCATTGTCAGTGGTCACTCTTGCCGTCGCAAGCAACGATTTTCACTTTATCCACTTTGGCTACTTCTTGGATCTCTCGGAATTCCACGTCCGACAACATGAAGGTCCACACGTTGTCACAGAAGCGGTACGTGTTCAATTTGCTGGCCTAAAAATAGCCAGAAAATGAATTTGACGCACTTTTTGGTTTAAAATAAAATGAATATAATAACAATTTTGAATCTCTAATCAAACTAATCTTAAGAAACCTTCGTATTTATTTGTAAGGCAATAGATCCTCACCTTGAACTGGAGTTTAGATTTGACCCTGGAGGCCAAGGCAGAGTTGATGGACTTGTCAAACTGGAGCATCACTTGCGCAGAGAGCTGTGAGGTCAGATGGCCGTACTGAAAAAAAAACGATACATAAACAATCATAGAAACATCGCATTTAAATTAAATTAAAAATTATAACTTTCACTCACTGTGAATATAAGAATGGAATATTATACAATTATTATTACTTTATTATAACTAAATTAAATCCATTTTCACAAAGTTTGAATGACGCACCTCGACCAGTTCGTCCAGACACTCTTGCAGCGTGTTGCCCAGGGTGGTGTTTCGGTACAACTGATACGACATCGTGCACTGCCGAGTGTATCGAGGGATCCTCTGCTGGCTACCGTCCTACCTAGAACTCAGGAAACAGAAGGAAACGGAGCCGCAGGGCCAGGCAGACAGACTTTTAAGGATTGTTTTTGGCTCAGTTTACAAAACCCTTAGCAAAATGGGCGGGGCACGAAGAGAAGCGCCAATTATAGCGGTCTCTAGCGGAACCCAGACCGGCGGCAGCTCTTGCACTGCTTGTGCTTGGCATGGATGATGTTCAATAAAAATTTCCACTCTCCGCCTCTCCATTAGCATTATATTTGTGTGTTCAAGAAGTTCAAAATAATATTTTATTCTCGCCAAATTTTGGTTAAAAAATATTTATTTCAAATAGGTTTTGGTTAGCATATTAAAAGGTATAAATTTATGTTATGATTTCCATTACAATATTATACCAAAAATTAAAAATTCATCAATCCCCTCTCATACAACAGATGTGTTTAGTAATTGGCATATTTTTATCTTCAATATTTTTCAATTGAATTAATTCAAGTGCGTTTTGACAGTGATTTTTCAACTGTTCTAAAATTGTTTTTCACACCTGTCAATTACTGGAAATGACCAGACGTGACATCAAAACATTTGCAGTCACAATTCAGAAGAGTAATAATACAAATATGTGTCCTAATCCTGTGTGTAAAGAAAGAAAGGACAGATCAGTAAGAATTTAATACTTAATGCCTTATGCGGCGTTTGTAAAATAATAATGTGCTTTTATAACACCCTACACAGCAGCGCCCTTGCCAGCTGTCTTGTGGCAGGACTTCCAGGCCCTCATCGAGGTGACCGCATGGTTCAGCTCTTTGCACCATTGGATGCGCTCTTCTTTTGAGTCAGTTGATATCAGGTGTCTATGGAAAGTTAAAAAATAAAAGGTGCAACTGGTTTAGGAAATTTTAAATGAAAAGTACCTGATGGTGGTGACATTTTTGCCTGGAATCATCACAAGAGATTCCTTATCATCCGGACAAGCAGGTCTTTGAGTCTCAATCAAGAAAGTGTTGAGACGAGCGCAGATTTCTCTGGACACAGCAGTGATTTGCTTGGAGGAGCATTCGCTCAAATCAATCCAACCAATGGGTTCCTGCGGATAAAAATTGCATAAATTTAGATACATGTTTTGTCTCTGCATCGCAAACCCTTTTCTTTTCGTCGTCAGGATATTTCCAATAAGCCAGTCGAGCTCCGTCCAACACACACCAACGCCTGTGCCAGGCGCCGAATCCACTAATGTCATCGAACATGGTCAAGAAGCCGCGTTGCTCAGTGTCTAGGAGTAATTCGCTTGACATTTCCAGGCAGATATGGCCCTCAAGTGGGCTATTATATGGCACCTTTCAAATGATTTGATTAATGATATGTATTAAAACAATATTTGCAGGAAAATTACCTTGTTCAGGGTGAATTGCGTGCGGCTCAGTTCTCTGAGAGAAAATACAGTGAAGCCAGCAAGAGAGAAAGAAGGAGATCGAACAGCATTTGGGCCAGCAGGGCTCTGAATCACTGGCATTACCAACAAGCTGTCGTTCTTCTGCTTTTTCGGGGTCAGTCGGAGTTTTGGAGTGTCCTGAGAATACAAGATAATTACTCATTTAGAATAACTTGATTAAAAATTATAAATAATAAAAAGAAAGAATACAATGAAAAGCACGTAATACCTTCTTGATGTGGTACTTGTCCTCGTGACTTATGGTCTCCCTTCTGGCTTGCAGGGTGTAAACTTCCAGGGTTACAGCAAAATTGCTCTTCAGCTTTTCCAGGGTCAAAGTTCCTGGGAACCTAACCAGTTCTTGCTTTGGAGGCACAGAAGACGTGGGCAGCATTGGGGAGGCAAGAACTTGCTCCTGGCTCTTGACAAGACACACAATGTATTGCTCCAAATTTTCTAAAAATTTGAATAAAATGTCAGAACTCTGTATTTATAAAATAAGTAAATTTTACCTTCACGGCGCATCCTGGAGAGGAACTCTCTCTTCAGCGGAAGACACAAATTTGAAATGGCTAAGGAGCCAGTTTCGGAATGCACATCAAGGTCGTTTTCCTCATCACCTTCCACCTTCAAGCGTTGGATTTCATTCAGCAACGCCTGCCTTTTGTGGGCTATAATAAAGTAAATTATTAATTATTTATCATAATGAATTAAATTTTTCCTCCTTAATTAAGAATTTCTTATTATATACTACAAAACCAAAATTTTCTTACTGGCCAAGAGCAGCAGCCTTTCCGCCTCAACTTGCTCGGAAGAGTTGGAGAACTCGACAGTCGAGCGGCACAAGTTAAGCGCCTGACTGGCCTGCGAGATGACTGTCTGCTGCCTGCTCACTTCCTCTTCCAGGGACTTAATCTTCTTCTGCATTTTCCTGGCCGTCTCCCGGGGATCAGTTTCCTCCTCAACAACTTCTTCTGGCTGTCTGTAGACATGGTGTACAGGCGTGGACAGTTTGGAACCCTGAGACTGCTGCTTGCGGTAGAAACTGACTGTGTGAGTCAGGGGCTTCACGTTGCCTTCGTCAACCAACACAGATGGAATCGGAGTGTCAGGAGCACTTGGAATGAACTTGGCAGCAGGCGTACGGAAAACGTACTCCTGTAAATAAAGAAAAAATTAGCAATTATGAAATGTTTTAGCTCGTAGTGCATATTGGCAAGTAGGGCTTTCTTATTTGGCTGCACAATCAAAGAGAAAAAAAGTACATAACCTAAAAGATAAATTTGCTTACTTCTTTGTCACGGCTCTTTTTAGGTGGCGTAGGACCAACAGACGCTATCTCCGAAATATTACCCAAAGCTTCATCAAGGAAGTCATCCATGTCTTCTAAAACGGCACACTCATTTTCAGTCATTTTGGAAGCAACCTGTAGATGAATTAGAATTTAAATATTTACAAAAATTCATCTCACAGCTTTCAGTAGATTTGAGATTGAAAATACAAATTCGCACCCTCTTTACAGAGTTCCTTTCATTGTTCAGCCCAGCCGCCTTGAGGATTTCCTCCCCAAAGCTGTGGTTGGCTTCACTGCTGACCTCGTCACTTTGGTCAGTCGAACCGCTAGTGTCTGCGTCCATTTCACTCTCAGTTGCATCTATATCTGACAGACTGGGGTATATGCGTCCCTCTTTTGGTGGTGAGACCTTGATTTTTCTGACATCCAATGAAGGGTATTGCTTCTTCGGAGACTCTGCACGCTTTGAAGGACTGGGAGACCTTGATTTTTGACGGATCTGTGCAGGGGGTGGCGGAGGAGGCACCTGAAATGAATAGAAACATTGAAATGATATAAATATGCAGACGGCGAAATTTTTTTTTTTTTTTTTTTTTGATTCAATATTGTTTTTTTTTTAATTTTAACTATAACAATGCAAATATTGAAAATTGCAAAAAGCTACCTGGACTTCATCCTTCTCCTCAGGTTCCTCCTTATTCGACATCTGCTTCTGCTTGTCCCATCTGCTCCTCAGCATTTCCAGCTCTTTTTGGCGCTCAGATTGAGAAGAGGCAACTACCTCACTTGGCTTAGCAATTTGGTTAAGGCTCTTTTCAAACATAGCCTTGTGAGCTTGTACCAGATTATCTAGAACATGAAATTAAAAGAAAAATTAATTATTTGAAAATAATTTAAATTATTCTCAATCCTATCATAATGTAGGAATTCAATGATAATAAAAATAATAATAAGAATAAATAGTTTAGAGAAATAACAATTATTTATAATTTTACTGAGCAGAAAAGCCAAACAAAGAATGAATTACCTTTTTCCTGACTCTCAGCTGGCTTCTTCACAGGGGCAGCCTGAACTTTCGGCTTTGGCTCTACCTTAGCAGGGACAGTAGGCGCCGAGGGAATAAGTTTGGCTGGCAGCGGAGTTGAGAATGCAACCTTGGGCAGCAGCGGTGCATTGGTTTTGTTCTTCTCAAAAAGCGCCATTCTCTGAGACAACGGCAGATTGGCCGGGTCTATGGCGGGACTGGCCGAGGCTGCAACGGCCGCAGACTCAAACATGGCTGCCTTCTGCAAAACTGAACCTGGGGACATGTTTTTCGGGCGCCCCACTGGCGAGCACGGCCGAACTGGAGACATGGGTCTGACAGGTGAGGCCGCCCTGACAGGCGACACATGCCTGATGGGTGAGGCCGCTCGAACGGGGCTTCCGACTCCCATTCGTGGCTTCACGGGGCTGCCAGCCCTGTAGACCCATCCAGGTGAGCTGACCGATCCGGAGGTTGGAGTCGGGGCGCTGGACACAAACGATTCCTCTTCATCCTCGTCCTCCTGTGGGTTCTTTTTTTTGTCATAATCGTAAACAAGGCATGATTTAGACTCGGTTGGCACAAAACCCTGAGCTTCCTGAAATTTAGCACATGTTTGCTCTGCTTTTGATCTTTCATTGTGGCTTTTTTAGATAAGTTAGTGAAAATTTTAGCAATTATTTAATCCTTCACCTTGCAATTGTAAGGTGCAATTTTGTATTTTTATTAAATAGATAAAGGTGCTCCTAATTCCCAATTGCATCCCAATTAAACAACTCGATATACTTGCAAATTAAGAAGCTGAGACATTTGCAAGTATTTAAATCTCCAGGAACTTGTAATGCAAAATAAGTTCTTATGATCTTGATTCCACATTCATTTTCTTTTTAAACAATAAAAAAACCATAACCTTGCCCCATTTTGAGATCCCAGTTCATAGTAAGAATATGATGTGTGACATGCTCTTGAGCCAACACCGAGTTAAAATCATAGTCCAAAATTGTGTAAGCTGTCAAATATTTTTGAAAGTAAAATTCAAATAGAGAACTTTCTTAAATATTTGAGCATTAACCCGTTGCCCAATAAAACAAATATTTACCAGTGTAGCAATGATAGACTTGTCAAGGACAACATTTTTGACGGCGCTTGATTTAAAACCCATCTGTGGAGTCCTGAAGCTGGACGGAGTGGCCAAAGGCGAAATGGGTATCGGAGAGGCTGCTCGGACAGGTGACGAAGCACCCATGTTACGGACAGGCGATGCTGCTCTCACTGGAGAAGGAGCCCGGACAGGTGATCCGAAGAGGACCTTTGGCTGGGGAGAGGCGGCCCTTACTGGAGAGGGTGCTCGAACAGGCGAGCCAAATCGGGCCCTCTGAGGAGAGGCAGCCCTTCCAATCCTGACGGGTGACAGTTGCCTCTGCTGGTCTGGCGCGTAGGGTGTCGGCGGCAGTTTCGAGTAGTCATCCTCCCAGTCCTTGAAGTTTTGGGCCAGAGCGTCCAAACGAGCCTTTCGAGCATGAGTTTGGGCCTTTGGGACAGGCGGCTCGGAGGCTGGGAAGCGAGATAGGGTCTCCGTGCGAGGGTGAACTGGAGACGAGTACTGCTCCAGGTTTTCAGGTTCAGTGTAGAGACGGCCAAGGCGGTTCAGACGGTTTTGCAGTGCCGAGTTTGGTGCTGAAGAAGAGACTTCGTCCAAGTCCATTTCCATTTTGGAATAGGGGGCATCGCCAGACCCATCCTTTTTCAAATCATCCACTAAAAATTTGATTTTTATTCATTATTTGAAAAGTTTCCTAAAACGGTTAGGGAAATTACCGGCTGAAGGTGTGGCAGGGGCCGGATTATTTTCAGCCAAGGGTGCGCGACGTCGTTTGTTGTCACCGACAGAAGCGAGAGCTGTGTCCAGTTTTTCTCTCCGGCTCTTTGCCCTCTCCAACATTCGCTGAAAAGCAAAAATAAAATATATACATTATTGGGGTTCGGGGAAAGAATTTTTGACTGTATGATAGTTTATGTATTAAATTGAATGATTTTAGATTGATTTTTTGCTATAAAATTAAAACGAACACAATTTTAACAATCCATTAGAATTAAAACAAAACTTGAGATATGTAAATATCATAGTGAAACAGCTTTACATGTACTGAAAATTAAATAAATTATTCTCTCGTGAGAATGCGTATGTAAACAGTGTAAACACCATCTTATTTTGATCAAAATACCTTTGTAAAATCATCCATCGCCTTCAGAATCTCTCAAGATGCTAAAAAAATGATTGAACTGCGCAGAGCGTAGTTGAAAAAGCTTGTTTAACTCCCAAATCGCCCAAAAATTAAATAAAATTTTAGTCGAGCGCAGAAATCATCTGACAGGGTCGGGCATGGGCGCGGAAAAACTAACCGTTTTAGCGGCTAACGATTTATGTCTGGACTTGTTTTTGAAATTCCCCCCTCCCTGTATCCGCCAGCCAATCTGAAGATGCGGAGCGCGCTGCCTTTGTGAGCACAAAACGAAAAGGGCCTTAAATCAACGTTAAAATATATTTTTTACAATTTAAAAAGTAATTTTTAATTAATAAGTTTTATTTAAACAAAATTAATCAGATGTCTTACAAATTGCTTGTTTAAAATCAGAGCCAAAGGTTTTTCATTTGATCTCGATGGTACCTTTCGTCCTCGCCGTTGCCATGGCGCCAAATAACATCAGAGTAAAATAATTTCGGTGTTTTCAAGTAATTCAATTATTTATTCTTCAACTCTTGAAAGACCGAATTCACAATTTAAACATCCTTCTTCAAAAGAATATTTTTTCATCTTCAAACTTTGCCCTTTGCCAGGCTTTCTATGTCGCTGCTGCGGCGGCAGGTCTAACATTTCCTTGTGAGTTTCAAAGTTCAACAATAAAAATTAGAAAAATTATTAAGAACGGTCTTCTCGCAAGCAGATTAAAAAAGTGCTAATTGATAAAATGGAAATTTTTGATGATGATGATCTTGTGTCAAAACTTTGCTTTCACCGGGTCAAAGATATTGCTTCAGACAAGTAAGTGTACAAGAATTCCAAAAATTATAATAAAAATTAATTAATATTATTTTGCGCTATATGTATTTGGATAATATTTTGATTAATCCTTATTGATAATAATTATCTAAAACAAAAACAAACATATTCTAGGAAGTTGCCTTTACACACATAAGATGTAGATATTTTTTATGTTCATATAATATCCATTAAACCAAATTCATTGGTTATTATATTTGCATTGCTTATTTGATTCCAAAAGAGCTCTATGGACAAAATATTTAATTATGTAGTGATAGTCATACATTTTCTTGTTTATATAGAAGAAGTTAATTGAATGTATGTTTATTGGTAATTATTGTTTACAGGTGGTGGACTTTGATTGACAAGCAGAAAAAATTATCACAGCTTGCTATTCAGAATGCTAGGGGTGGTGATGAGGAAAAGGTAGCAGAGGCATTTCGGAATCACCTTGACAAGGTTGCATTAAATATGCGAAAAAGATTAAAAGAAAAATCCTTTTTAAAATTACAAAATTTGCAGGTGCCCACACTTGTAAATGAAGTGACAAGTTTGGCAGTTTGGAGAAGAGAAATTTTGCCATTACTGCTCGAAAAGGCTGATGAAGAGCTGGAGGCAAAATTCTGTGTTATCTACATGATTCTCTACCACGAATCCACTATTGTAGCTCTGCTGGAAATTCTCCTTTTCCACTCAGACATCTGCAAGTCTCTCGAAGACTGTGCTGTGGATCTCGTTGATTACTGTGCCTCACAGATAACTTATTTGATTGCTAAACAGTAATATATTTACCTCTATATGGATAAAATCCAGACATTTCTAATATTCTAAATTTAGGCCTGAAGTTGACACTGGCAAAGAAAAATCTCCAGAAAATGAATTAATCTGCCAGAGAGATGAAATTCGTTTTGGTGTTGGAATGCGTTGCATTACAATTGTTCTGTACTTGGCTGAAAATCTGGACAAGTTAATTAAGATTTTTTTTAATAATTCTATCTATACAACTTCTGAAATAATATAGATTGAGTCTTTCGGTAACAACACGAATCTACAATACACACGATTTTCCTCTGCTTCTATGCAACCTGATCGAGTCCAAGCCTTGGATCAAAGAAGAAAACGGGCAGAAAATGCAATTCACTGGTATTCTAAATTTTATAACTCTACATTAATGATTAATTAAAATAATAATAGATGGCTACTGGTACAAGAAAAGTGAGGGCACGTCTGCTGGTCGACATGAGGCCAACACTTGGCTCGCACTTCACCAACTCTTGTTACAACCAGACTTGGGCAAATACTACCATTTAACTGAGTACGCCAAGGGTCAATTCATGAGAGTAAAATAAGTTAATTAAGAATTATATACTTTCTAATACTTGAGGCATATAGCTTGAAAGCAAGATCAGCGGAAATTTACTTGGCCAGCTTCAGCCGTTGCAGCAACTAAAAGAAGGACTTCTCTACATGGCGAATTTTCAGTTGCCAGACCAGAAACCACCAATCATAATGGAGCTCATTCCAGAAGTGGGCAAATTTTAGTTTTTTTTTTCTATCAAGTTTACTTAAATATTTTTCTAAAAAGATGACGAACGCATTGATGCAAGAGGGTGCAAAAGGCTGGACAAAGATAGTTTGTCAACAAAAGAAACAATTAGTCTCGAACATGAATTTGACAGAAATTGCAGAGAAGTAAATTATTAGACTGTTCAAATTAAAAATAATAATATTGATGTCTATTGTAGACTGAGCAACACTCTGAAGGGATTTGATGCACCCGTCAATTTGTGCACAAATTGCTCTCAGCCAGCCAAAAGCAGGTGCTCAAAATGCAAGAAGGCCTGGTATTGTGGTCGAGACTGCCAGCTCCAGCACTTCCCTTATCACAAGAAAGAATGCAACCCGGACCTTTAATAATTAACTACTATGACCAAGGAAGTTTCTTAATTCAAATGCGCTGGTTAGGTTTAAGTAAAAACGAGTTTGCCTTTTAATGGAAATGCATCGTCATTCACTGCTTCAGATATTCCTTGACAAAGTCGCATTCAGGTGTTTCCTCACCCCAGTCCTAGAAAGAATAAAATAAGATTAATTTAACAATCTTGTTGAATAATGATTAATTTAAATTCAGGATAAGTACAAATTGAACTTTTTATTTATTATTACCTTGACGACGACACAGGAGCAACCGACAACCTTGCGGGCTTTGCCTGTGCTGTCGATCTTGCAGAGACCAGACCACTCGCCAAGTTTCTTGTTGTCATCAACCTTGATGAGCGGGATCTGGTGCTCATTGCACAAAGCCTGCACAAGCTTCTTGTACATAGGCTCGTCGCAGTTCTCGGCCAGCACACAAAGAAGGGCTTGACGCCTTTAAGTATCCCCATTAATAAAAGGAAAAATCAAGGTTTTATTAATTTTTACTTGTCCAAAGCCTTCGCAGCTTCGTGGATTCCCCTGGCCAATCCGTCGTGGATCAGGGCGGTCATCAAGACTTTCTGGACAGCCTTGTTGATGTCCATGGGGCCGCTGGCATTGCCAGTGCCTCCTTCAACCATATCACTAAAGAAGAAAAATTATGCAAAATATAATAAAATCCTGGCAAGAACGTTGAAGGCAAATTTCAAATTAAAATTAGTTAACAATGAGGCTATTAAATTTGTAAAATTACAGCAATTCAATATGTCGATGACAATGACACGTGATGAAAAAAAACGCCGGCAATCGTATTTAAATTATCTGAATTAAAAAAAAAAAGAAAAAAATAGAGCCGCATAAAATATTTATGTGTGGCTATGATTAACTATTGAGAAAATATTAAATAAAAAGTCATTTTAAAAAGAGGAAAACATGCGTCGAAAAAAATGAAGATTAATACTCACGCTACTTCTGCCATGATGAAGTTAGTGAATTTGAAGCTCTCTTTTCCTCAAGCTATAAAAGGAATAGACTGACATAAATACGTGAAAAGAAAGTATAAATTACATGGAACAATATTTTTCACAAATTATAAAAGGATGATCCGGGAAATCGGGAAAATTAATGGATTTTTAAGGGAGGATAAGAAAAACACGTCTTTACCTTCGTCAGACGAATAGGAAAACCCACTTAGCCAGGTTTACCAACAATTCAGTAACAAAAGCTTGGCATGATGCAAGGAGGCATGATGAATGCCATGAATCATGAATCCCATGAATTTGAACTGCAATTTATTGTAAATTAAAGGTGCAAGCAAAAAAAAAAACAAAATAAACATAAAAAAGTGTTAAATATTTGATATTGCATTGATTTTAATCCATTATGATTTCCTTTTTTCAATTTTTCACATTTTACTTTGCCATGATGCCAGCCTGCGAAGTGAATCACCAGTCATATGTTTTGTGTTTTCAAAAGGTTGACAACTTGAGACAATGGCGTAGGATTCAATTTTGCACCACATTTAGGTATTGCAAAAAGTAAAACAAATAGAAAATGCAGTCTATTTACCGAAAGATTGTAAAGCCGTTTTCTGAGAACTAAATTCACCGGTAAGCGCCACCTTACTCATCAGTAATTTAAAGCTCAAACTCTCAGCTTATTGCAGATGTTTAGGAGAAGAGGAAAGATGGGAGGCCAATTTCGTAATTCTACGTGGGACCCCATCCTAATTTCATCGCAGATTTTCGCACTTCAGTTCGTTCTCTACAGCACCCTTGGACTGTGGAATGCGTTGACGACGGCCTTGGTGGGGTCTTCCAGGTCGCTGGACTTGCTTTTCAGCTACCAGATGATCCACGTCCGCGATAATTCCGGCCAACTTGTCATCACTTCTTTTGTTCTGAACTCCCTCACCGGGTAACTATAATTTTACTTAAGTCTGGAAACAGTTATTTAATTGTTGCAATTTTTCCAAAATTTCAGAGCATTGGCGTTGTGGTTCATTGTGCAAAGGACGAAGCAGTGTCTCGACTTTTCGGCCACTGCCCACCTTGTGCATCTCTTGGTTTGCTGGAGCTACAACGGCTACTTCCCAGTGTCCATGTCGTGGTGGGTTTTGAACACTGTGTGCCTTGCGATCATGTGCGTGTGTGGGGAGTTTCTGTGCATGAGGACGGAGCTTAAATCCATTCCACTTAATATGGGACCAAAAGCGGATCTCTGATTAACTAATAGTTGTATTTTTCCCTTAAGATTTAATTTATATTGTTTTATTTAAATTGGATTGTAATCTGATTATGTAATTATTTTTATCTGTTTCCATTTTATTTAATTATTATATTTATTGTCAAAGATAATATAAAAAGATTTAACAACATTATCATTGTGTGATTTCTGAAAAGAAAAAAAAAACATTTTTGTAAGAAAATGACCAAAGAATTACGAATTTGATATTTAATTGATTTTAATTTTGGTTTAATTCAGGTTTAAATTGATATGATTAATATAAAACTTTTGATAAAAAAAGATATTCTTGAACTTTATAAGATTTGGCGCTTAAAGGGGTGTGCCTGAATTTGACAACAGCAGGTCAACAATAAGTTTCTGTTGGTGATCATCATTGCACCTAAAATTTGGTCTTAAATATGCTTGATATTACCCCATGGGCCGGATTATTTCTGGTCGGTTTACTGTGGGGTGGCACAAACCCATTCATAAAGAGAGGATCCACAGGAGTGAAGAAAATTAAAGCGTCCAACATAATCGTTCAGTTACTACTAGAATTAAAGTACCTTTTTACTGAATGGAGGGTAAAATTTAAATTAATTTGATATCTTGTTGATTTAATTTAATATCTGTGTCTATAATAGTACGTGTTACCATTTGCTCTGAACCAACTTGGATCTGTTGTGTTTTTCCTTACTTTGCAGAAGACTGGTAATTTAATTGTAAAAAAGCTTCAAAAAATACAATTTTATTAATACAATTTTCTTAGATTTATCTTTAGCTGTTCCTATTGCAAACGCTTCAACTTTTTTATTCACGGCGCTGGTCGGGCAGTTTTTGGGAGAGGATAAGATCACAAAAGGTACCTAATATAAGCAAAAATATTTTTTTTTAAATAATACAATACATATTTCTTTCAGAAACGTTAATTGGAATTCTGCTTGTGCTGTCTGGAATTATGTTATGCGTTTATGATAAAAGTGAATTAACAGGAATCGATCACGAATAAATCACGTGGAATTTTATTATTTGTACATACATGATGAGGCGAGAAGTCTCTTCCGCAGCTTCAGATTAGTTAACTTTGTTGAAGTACTCCTTTGAACCTTTTGGATTCGGTTTGATGGTCGGAGAATCGGGGGTCCAGTTTGCAGGGCAAACTAAAAACATGGCACTTCTTATAATACCCTTTTCTATATCAGCAAATAATTAATACCTTCTCCGTGCTTCTCAACAAATTGGAAGGCTTTGATGAGTCTCAAAGTCTCGTCCACACTACGACCAACAGGCAGGTCGTTTATAGTAATTTGCCGAAGAGTTCCCTGAGTGAATAATTAATTTAGTAAAATTGCAAATATCATATTGAGAATAATAATTTACAGTTGGGTCTATGATAAAAAGACCTCTCAGAGAGATTCCCTCATTTTCTATGAGCACACCATACGCGGTACTGATTTTTTGGCTGAGGTCTGCAAGAAGAGGGTAGTTAAGTCCACCGAGACCACCATCCTGGAATTATTATTGGGTTAAATTTTAATATAAAAATTATAAACATCTACCTTTCTTGGCGAGTTTATCCAGGCCAAGTGGGAAAAGTGCGAGTCGGTAGAAACTCCGACAACTTCGGTGTTAAGCGCGTGGAATTCCTTGATGCGATCGCTGAAGGCAATGATTTCCGTGGGGCACACAAAAGTGCTGCAAATGAAAAGTTAATTTTTTTTTTTAATAAAACATAAAACAGTATTACAAATCCAGAGGGTAAAAGAAGAGGACGAGGTATTTGCCCTTATAATCTGCGAGTTTGATGTCCTTGAAGTCTCCGTTGACAACGGCAACTCCTTTGAAGTCTGGAGCCGGCTTTTGCACTACAGCGGCTTTCAGTTGCATTCCTATTAAATCAAATAAAATAGGTTGTTTGTTTTAAATTAGCAATCAATTAAAATATACCTGTACTGAAAGCCCTCGTCACCAAAGGTGTTGATTTGCTGCTAAATTGCGGCCTACTGATAAGGTGCTGAAAAAAGTTATAAAATTTATATTTTTACATAAAACATATTGGAGTGATTACGCAATACAAATTTAATGACATGCGTTGTTTTACTTTAAATAATGAATGAGAAATCATCAATGTTTATCGCAAGAAAACAGGATTACCAAGAAAAAAGTCAATCATTCTATATTTTACCTTCACTGGCAAAGCCATCATCCGTCCGAAAAAAGCTGCAGACATTGTCACTCGGCTTTTTGAAATTCACGTGAGCAAAATTAAAAAAAAAAAACTGATCAAAAACAATGTAAACAGAAGTCGCTTGATGAATGTTGTGCACCGCACGTACTCTTCAGCAGCAATTGTTTTTTAATAAAAAAACCCAAAGTCTTTTGATCTTTTTAACCTTCGATGTTTTGATTTTATAAAGTGCCCGACTAGCCTGACTGCCTGTCTCGTCTCGCTTTTTTTTGTTCCCTTTTTGTTTTGGTTGGTCAATGGTCAATGGTTGGTCAATGGTCAATTTATTGCTCAGGAGTGACATCTCTTGGTCGCAGCTAAACTTAACTGAGTCTGATGATATTTGTGGAAAATGGCGCGAACACCACGTTGAAAAATCTCATGTTTGGTCAATGTTTTGTGCACAAAAATAACAATGAATTCATTTTAATTTGCAACAGACCTTTTTCATTTTACAATGCACTTATTGTAAGCTGCAAATCATGTTTATTGATCTGATCTTTCACAGAAGAAGCAATCAATGCACCATAAAATATTCAAAGAGCACTTAAAGACTGCAAAATGCTGATGGAAAATTCTGTAGCTCACCTGATGCCATTGACGTTTTTGTCCACTATCATTTGAAAAGCAGGCGATTTTTTTGATAGCCTCTGATTACCATTAAAAATCTTAAAAGCTTGAAAAAAAATATAAATTGTCTATCTTTTTAATATAATAATATCTGAAGAGTAATTACTGTATCGAAAATTTGGACAAATAATCAAAATAAGAATTTTAAGTTTGTGTTAAGAAAATGTTTTTAAATGAACTGAAGCAAAAAGGTTTTAATACCAAATGCGCATGTTTATCCGGATGCTGGTGTTTTGCGCGGTTTTGCTGCTATATATAAAGAAGTTGATTGTGGTCTCTACAGTGATAAGCAGTAGTCGCATCGTTAAGTTGTTTATTGATGGAGTCCATCAACGACACCAAGGGTCATCGATTGTAAAAAAAAAGAGGAGGATATTTCTGCTACAAATACGTACACGCAAAGATAACCTTAAGTTGCAAGGATTTTTTTTTAATTTGATTGGTCCCATGTAGGAATATCAAGATGTGGACTGTGCAGGCACTAATAATTGCAGCCCAACTGTTTGTGATTTTCTGTGCAGGTATGATTTTGTTAGAAAATAATGTGATATAATTTACTTTTGACCCCTTTGACTTTGAACAGAATCAGAATCATCCTCACCATCCTCTAATATCACTATCAATGAAGTCAAACAAGGAGATTTTGAACACTTTTTTGGGGAAAACACGACCGATTCAGAGCCAGATTGTTTTGGATTAGCCAAAACGATTTTGAGGTTTTTTAAGCCAGACAATCGACACGACATCAGCACACGATTTTTCTTATCCACAAGGTGATTTTTTTAATTTAATTTAAAATTGCTTATTACATTACTATGATGTCAGAGATGCGAAAGACAGGAGCGAGATTCACGTTCGGCCGAGAGTAAATTTGGGACCAATTTTTAACGCGACAAAGAAGATTGTCATCATTTGCCATGGGTACAAAAGTACTGCCGACAATTCCTGGGTCCGAAATATGGAAAAGGCGCTTTTATACAAGGTATTTTTTTTTTTTTAATTCATTGAAAAAAATACAAAAAATCTATCAGGAGGATGTGAACGTGATTGCTGTTGACTGGCGGCGAGGCGCCGACAAGTGGAACTACATCCAGGCTGCGTCAAACACCAAAGTGGTCGGCGCCGAACTCTCAAGGTCCACAAATATTTTTACTTTTTTTGTAAATTTTATTTTTATTTTTAATTATTGCAGTTTAGTTGAGTACATGATCACAAAAGTGAACATTTCGGCAAAGAATTTCCACTTGATTGGACACAGCTTGGGGGCGCACGTAGTCTCTTATGTTTCCTCGCACATTACGGGAAAAGTGAAGAGAATTACAGGTTCTTAACTATTTTATATTTTACAAAACAAATTACTAAATTTCAAATGTATTAATAAATATAAAAATAAATTTTTTGAAATAAAGGGCTGGACCCTGCAAATCCTTGCTTCTCACCAAAAGAGTTGGGCCTGAAACTGGACAAAGGAGATGCTGACTTTGTCGACGTCATCCACACCAATGGCAGGTACACAAGATTCGGCCTGGGACTGCAATTCCCGCTAGGTATCAATCAACGAGATATAATAATTAATTATCAATAATTAAATATTTTCAATATTTAGGCCATGTCGATTATTATCCAAACGGAGGCACCGAACAGCCTGGTTGCAGAATTCCGCACTACTCATCTCTGTGGAAAAAAATGCGCGCTATCGGACTGGACGTTGCTGAGAAAGTTTGGAATAGTGCGTATTCGCCTGTACTTTAACAAAATAATAATACATCATGATAAATTAAATTACTTGAAGGAGTGAAGGCGCCCATTTGCAGCCACAGCAAAGCTGCTAAATATTTTACCGAAGCCATTTATGGCAGGTGCATATTTTGGGGACACAAATGGGATATCTATAGCCCAAGGTTAATTGTTTTTAAGTTATTTTATTGTATTTTAATTAAAATAAAAATTGCAGAGCACCAACTAATTTGACTTGCGACGAGGAGAATTGCGCAAGGATGGGCATGGAAAGTGACAAGTACAAGGGCAAAGGACACACTTTTTACGTGTTTATAAGGGATAAAGAACCGTTTTGTGGTAGTTGAATGTTTTTCTTCTAAATGATTAATTCTACTAATACAAAAATATAGTTAGAGAGCCAGAAAACGATGTGAGGATGGGCTATCCAACTCTAATTACAGCTTCGTGAGTTTAATAATTAATGATTTTTTTTATATTCACAATAGCATAATTAATAAAGATGAAATATTAGGCAACTGCTATTAATTTCTAATTAGGGCTTGCATTTTATTCATTGTCATTATATCCCTAATTTTTTATTCGCGCTTCATGGTTGTTTAACAATGCAACCTTTTTGTGCTAATTGTTGGCCAGATTTTCTGTTCTTTGACGTTTGCAAGTACATTAAGTTGGACGCAATTTGGTTTTTCGCAGCGATCACTCTCCATTCGCCGACCGAAATTCTGCAAACGAAATGCTGCTCGACAGTGACGTTTTCTTCTTCGGCGTAATCATTTTGATTTACAACGTGTTTGATTCGCCACTTCCCTTCGTCGCAGCCACGCTGTTCTTCATCGTGATGGACGTGATGCGGTGGCACAACTGGAAGATTGGCTCCTTCGCCTCAAATAGCAGACAAAGCTCTCTGGAGCACAGTGAGCCGGTTAATAATAAATGAACCACTTAATTATAATTATATTAATTTTAAATCGTTTTTAAAAATCCCTAAATATACAAAAATAAATTTATAAAGGAAATCAATTGAAAATTTAAGTCATGTTTAAAAAAAACAATTATATAAAACATTATTTGAAATAATTTGTATCTCTAATACCTGCACTGAACTATACTGAAGTAATAAAACTTATTATATTACTGCTATTTTTTGTTAAGAATGCTTTAATGTTGGTTCCTTTGAATGAGACTAACAAATTTCTCTTTGCAAAATTCTTTTAATGTTACATTCATAAATGACAGTATGTGTGTTATACAGTGTATAGCTTCTGCTTTCATCATTTATCTCCTGAACTGCCTCGAGATCTGCTCTATAGAATATATAATAATCGTTTGAGACATCTAAAAATTGTTTTTAAATAGTCAATTACTCGCCGCACCCATTATTCTTCGTAATCACTTTTTAAATACCGCTTCAACCGTTTATATTTTAATATTCACTCAAACTTACTTTATTCATCTCAAATCTCAATATAGCGTGGTGTTTGAAAGGAACAAAACAAAATCAAATAAAGAGCACTTCCGCACATTTTCAACAACAGACACAACCAACCTTCAGAAGTCTAATGGATTATAATTAGTTCAGTTAATCAGGGTTCTTTTTGTACCATCACTCATGTTACTTTTTTAGGGAAACAAGTCTCGCTCTCAGCAGAGATACAAGAGTTTTTCACCGCAGTGAGGAGACTATTTTCTTCTCTAAAAGTCTGCATGAGAAATTATAGAAATTCTACAGTTTTAATTTTTGTATAAAATGGTTCTTTTGCGCTTCCGTCTCGTATACTGCTGTAAATTGACAAGGACATTTTCTCGCAATTAAATTGTGGCATATTGAAATCACTTTTAGAATTACATTTCATGCGTTTCCTCTATGAAGCCTATTAATTTTGAATGTTTGAGAATTAATTTTGAGATAAATGAGAACTAAGCAAATTTCCCAAGATTGCACATTTTGTTATTTGATAAATTAGCAAGTTCACATAATTATTTGTGAAGTTCTTTCAACCGACGCAATTTACAAACCGCCCATTTTTTGGGCATCGAGTATTTATTTACAGGTTCTGTACACTTCCACTGTATAATATACTTGATATTTTTTCTCTCTGAACTATACGAGTTAATCAGCGCAAGACGTTGGTTTGATATTTTTCATTTTTTGTATTAATGCCGATTGGTTTCAACCTCCTGGCACTATTATAAAGATATGTCGATCATAATTTTGTGGTCCTTGAATGGTTTTCAGAGTTTCATCGGAACAGAAAAAAAATTCAAAAAGTATAGGCCATGTTTTGATCAAAGAAGAAATTTTGAACCGATGTCTTGAACTCTTGCTTTTTTTTCCTTCTTGATATGTTTGATAGTGTCAGCACTATTTAATTACAATTTCACCGCATGAAAAATATATAAACATTTTTTTTCAGCCGGAGAGATTAAAACAACTTTTAGCTTGATGCTATTTTAAGGTAAAATGTACAAGTCTTTTTTTGGGGATCGTTTTTTACACTGGGAATAAAGGGGTATGGCGAAGAGATCAAAACTCAGCAGCATCAGCAGCAATGCGATTATCGAGCAAGTAGGGGAGGCCACCAAGCTCCTGTTTCCTATAAAAACACTTGTTTCAGTTTTAAAAAATTATGGAAAGTTAAAAAAATTCAAATAAAAATCATACTAAAGAAATTAAAAAGAAATATATATTTTTTAATCTAAAAAATTTATTTAAAAAAAGTCAAATATTGAAATTGCAGGAGAAAACTTACAGGTTCCACTGATCCAAGTTTGTCACGGCCAGGGAAACACTGAGCAGACGGACGCACTGAAATTTTGAGGGCATTTAAACATTTGTAATGATTACAAAAATGTTAAAACTCACGTGGAGAGGTGTTGAAGATTCCAGCGGCGGCAGGGGAGCCAAGTTGGGCTGCGGAGACGGCGGCGGCGGCGCCGCTGTAGCCCCCGACCATGGGTACGGAGCCTGCAGGAGCGGCGCCCGGAGCAGGTCCTTGCGGCGCCCCGTTGTTTCCACCGTAAGAGGCGGCGCCGCTGGACGAGTGGGGCGTCGAAGCGCTCGAGCCGTAGCCTCCCCGCGGCGAAACACTGCTGCTCTGCGCTCTACCATACTCCTCTAGAAATAAAACCCTGCAGGTTAGGGCCACCCGTCAGTGACAACTTGAGTGTTCAAGAAAATGTTAAACAATTGAGTTTTCTAATTTTGTATTATTATTTTAAATCAAGAGATCAGTGGAGTAAAAAAAATGGACTAATTTATAAAATTCATTTTTTTATATTTTAGTGCTAACTTGAAAAAAAAAGAACTCACCATTGGTATTGTCCTGTACACTGACCGCTAACTGCCCTGTATATGAATTGAACCCGGACATGCTGTGGTTGTTGGTCATGCCAGGTGACCGCGGCGCTGACAACGCCAACTGGTTGTTCCTCGGCATGCTGTACAAAGCCTCAGCCAGGTCTGCTGCCCTCTTCAGAATAATCTCCTTGGGCAGTTTTTCAGGGTCTCCGGGGTGTCTAGGAATAAGTTTTTGCAGTCTCTGGAAACCATAATCTATGGTCGGCTCATTCAGTGCTGCAAATAGAAAAAAAGGAAATTTAGTTACAAGTCCAATTAAAATACAAATTATTATCTGCTAACATTACACTCAGAATTTCAATAAATATTTAATTAAATTTTAAAATTCTTAAAATATTGAAATCAAGAACAAATTTTAATATATTTATTTATTTTTATTTATGTATTAAATTATAAAATAAGATGGAGTAAAAAGGGCAAATTACACTCACAGACGTAAACAAATCTGCCAGGCGCGCCTTTGCAGAATTGTTTCGACTTGTAGGAGAGCGTGACTTCAACCACTCCCGGTATATGCCTGGGCGGCGTTTGCACCCTGATGGCGTGAGACGTGATCAACTGGAATTAATAGAACGAAAATTAATATCTAAATATATTTAATTTTTATTATTTCAAAATTTACCTCACTCCAGACTAGCATTGTGCCGAAGACGACCTGAAGCCCGTCAAAGAAGTTGTCCCCAACAATGATGACCGTGGATCCACCTGCGGTCCACCCTTCACTCGGCGAAATTGCCTTGATGCAGGGTGTCGCTACGGGCAGGGGAGGATACAGGCCTACAGGTTAAAAAGGGTCACAGTGCAAAAACGGCACTCGGCTGCTCTTTTTGAAATAAATTTAAAAGAGAACAACGAGTGCGGAAATCTGCACCGATCATTATGATTTTAAGAACACATTTTCTTCCAATTAGTCAAATTTATTTTCCATAATATTAAATTTTTTTTATTTATTAAATTCAAGCAGGCGCAGTGAGTGGATTTCCCGACCATGTGGTTGGGGCCTCCAAAATAACACAGCGACCACGTGAGTTGCAAAATCAATATAGAGTGGCAAGTGCGCACGCACAGCACATTGCAATAAATTTTATAAAGATGACACTCAACTTTATTGACCCTGCAGTCAGCGACAGAATTCAAAAAAGCACTGATTGCGAGTCTTTAAAGTATTAAAATTTAAGAAAAAATTCAAGTAAAAAATTTACCTTCCGCGGGGTCGAGCCTCTTGGCTCTGCGGCCGTGTTTCGAGTTGTTGTGCACAAACATATTGTCGGACACCGCCAACAGTGGTCCGTCCACGCCAACCTGGGTGCCAATTACCACCTGCAACACGAATTCAATAATATTATGAAAACAAGTCGGAAACGGTACAAAAGGTCAATTGGTATTCGCAAAAATCACAGTTATTAAAAAAAAATTAATTTGATGAAACGTTTTTATTAAGAATGATTAAGAACAAATTGAAGTTAATTTCACTGCGTTTTAAGTTGCTAAAGAATGAAAATATTTCTCTATAAAAAATAAAAATAAAATATGATCAAAATTTACTTATTAATAAAACATAATTTTTATTTGAAAGCTCCATAAAAAGGGTTGTTTGTTACAAATTACAAGTTTTAATTCGCACTTGATAGATTTTTGATCCAGTGGAAACATCATAGTGCATTCAAATGTGCTTCTCGTAATCCACTGCAGGTTGTTACGCATAATTGTACGCACTGATAAAGGCGGCCCGAGACGAATTCATTAATAATTCAGGCCATAGTTATGCACACACCCTCGGCGCGCGCGGCCGCCGCTCGCTCGCTAATTAACGAGCAAATCGCGTTTGCCCCCTCGACCGAGAGGAGTGACAGCGCCCAACAACAAGGCCAATTAATTTGTACCAACGCCGCTCAACCCGCAAAACAGCGACCCGGTTCAAATATTGGCGATTTTATTTTGGAAAAATAGGGAAATAGCGAAACTCGCCATTTTGTCAAAATGAATGTGTCTTGGAAGGAAAAGCGATAGTCAGTCAGTGAGTCGGTTCGGCTGCTTCTCCCCCGGGGAGCGCCGGGAACGCGAAGGGGACGGTGGATCTTCCCCTGGGATTGCTCACGCAACATCTACCACTGCTGTTCTCGTAAGTCAGCCTCTATACAGTCCTCCTTTTTGTAAGCCCTCGCTGAAAAACCCCACCCCCGCCGCTCTCGCCGAGCCGTTCCCATGGGAACCGCAGAATTCTCTTAAGGGGAGAAATTGCAGCTCCTCGCGCGCCTACACCCACCGCCGATATGCAACCGGCAGCACACGCCGCCCGCGATTCAACGCAAAGGCCTTTTGCGGCGCCCAAGGATTCGCGCCTGCAGCCTCCACAGGTGTCGATTCCCAAATCCCAAAAGGCCCCTCAGCGGCCTTGAAAGAGTTCCCCATCGATCGTTTGCGTTTTGACCTTTGACGAAAGCGGAAAAATGACCTATCTTATGACGAAATGTTCATTTCTCTGTATCAAAAATTTTTAATATTGAGCAGAAACGTAAAAAAATAAATATTTAAATGAATTTTGAAAAACGGTTTCCACAATTATTTTGGTCCAAATTGAAATTATTTTATCTTTTGAAATTTATGTGAAGTGATTTAATATTAAATTGAAATAACTCTATTAACAATTTTTTTGGCATATAGATATAAAAATAAAATTAAAAAAAAAAACATAATTAATTAATTAATTTAAAAGAAGCATCTTGACGTTTTGACAAGCCACATACTGCTGAAATAATTGTCAGCTCCGTATAAAGGTGCGACGGAGATTGTTCATGACAGCACATTGCAGTTTAACACGTCGTCGTAAAGTTTGTGTTGTAAAGCCTGCTTCATGAGGCCGTAAACCTCCTGCTACACGCAACTTGTTATTTTGAAGCCAAATCTCCCAACTTGAACCTTAACTTGATATCTTTGGCTCCCCCAAACAAAATTAATTTCGTCGCGACGAATATATAAATGAATAAAAACAAAATCGATCGCGTGTGTGACAAAAGAGAGGAAAATAGAATTCTCCCTTCGGAAAAGAGAGTTGACGGGAAACAAATGAGAGATAAATCCAGACGGGCTTACTGCAGATCCAGCGGCGGCTGCCGCTTTCAAGATGAAACACGCGCAGGGGCCAATAAATAAAACGGCACGCGGGCTCTTGCATCGTCGCGAAATAAATAAACTGTGCGACAGCCTCCTGCCTTTCGTCATAAATATAAAGTCACTTTTCAATTTGTCTGTCGCGGCGCCGCCTAACAGGTGGCAAAAATGAATTACCGCGAGTGCCGCGTGCAACACCTTTTGCCTTCACTTTTCACGCGATTTATCAGGGAAGAGCGAAAGAACTTTTGCAAAGTTGGCAATTTGATATACACAAACTTTTTTTATCCTTTTCCAATCCTAAAAAAGAAGCAGTGCTTGAAATTAATAGTTAAAAATTACTGTTGTCAAGAGTTGGAAATTTATTTAATTTTATTATGTGAAGTATATAAATTTAAAAAATTCCTTATACCTTTAAAATTAATTCAATTTTAAAAACCAATTTCATCCCTGTATCAGAAAATCCCTGAATTACGAAGCTTTATTCTTTTGAAATAACGGCCATGTTTTGCGAGAGATTAATTTGAGAAAGAAAAGGCCAGTCTCCCTTTTTTTCCCATCCGTTCTCGACGGCTAATGCCATTTTTGCAGCTCTAGTCCTTTTTTCTCTCGACGCGAGTCTCTCACGAAGGGAATTTTGCCTGAGCCGATGGGTTCTTCTTCTCTTCTTTTGGGGTGGCCCCTTTTGCTTTTTATTTTCCTCTCTCTCGGCGGCGTCGGCGGAGGACATGCTTAGTCTGCCATGCGTGGATGACACGACAGTGACTTTTTATGTGCTTGCAATGCGATAAGGTCATTTATTGTTCCGAGGGGCTTAGCGATAGCAAATAATGCATTGCTCGGCGGCCAAATAACAATTTCCTCCTTCCTTGCTCTCTCTCGCACCAAAACGATGCACATCTACCCTTCGCCATGTATGTATTGCCGAGGAAGCAACTCTCACTTATCGCGTCGCGTGCACCCCGCCGAAAAGCGTCGAGATTCGGAAAGGCCCATCTTGGCGCGGGTGTGAGGCGAAAAGAGGGAACGCGCTTCCGCACGTTTTAACCAACGAAAGATAAATTATTGCGCCTGTTGAGGCGCGTAATGACGAAAAATCCAAAGGCAGCTGTTTATTCCAGCACAAGCCACACAACCCACAATGACACTGCATTTGCTTTCAAAGCACCCAAAATAGAGGATTTAGAAAAATGGAATTCTGCTTACCTGGAACCTCCTCATATCACGCGGGTTGCCGGCGTTTTTCAGACAGTTCTGGTTGCACTTCAAGAAGAATTTGAGGAAAAACCTGCAACAAAATTTAAATAAACTTTATTATGGAGTCAACAAAAATTAACATTTCCACATTAAAAAGTTTGATTTGCAAGTAAAATTTTTCAATACATTGTACAATTTCAATTGAAAATTAAAAATGAATTTTCATCATTTTTATTTTTTAATTTAGTTTTTCTGAAAAGAATTTTTATAATGTCATAAAAATATTAATAAATTTGGCACTACTTTCTCTATCTATCTAAGATTTATTCATTGCTAATTAAATTTCCAAATTATCTTTTATGCTATGAATGAATTTGGAACAAAATCCTGAAGCTCTTTCAATAGAACATTATTCAAATCCAGCTCGAATATATGTTTCATTTAGCATTTATTTGAGCGGCGCCGGCGGGCATGAGCGCCACATGGCACTAATTCGCAGGGGCATATCCGTGGCAGATTGGCACTGCCTCGGGGCACTCTGGCCATCAACCCCAATTACAATCAAGTGCGACACTGCACCTGCACGACAATCACGTCTGCAGCTCCTTTCCATTCTCGCGCTTGGCATTTATGAAAAATGATAAGTAAAGGAGCTTAAAAGCTACTTTCGCTTTTTTTTTACTTGTATTAATCTTTCGCTGTAGGAAGCCGCACGGCCGTCATTATTTTATATTTTGTTATTGTTCGGCAGCACCCTCGTCGCCACCCCTTAAGTAGCCCCTTCTGGCGAAATGAAAACAGAATTAAGTCCCCGGCGCGGCGCATTAAACATCCCCTACACGCCACTCGTTTTGTCGAAACCCGCTGTGCGCGCCGAGCGAGACAATATTTGCATTAGATCATTTTCTCTTTTCCTTTGTGCAAATAGCTCACTTGTGCCGCACGCGGAGAGAGCGATTTTTCATCTTTCAATTTACCAGCAACATCGGGTAAATTATTTAAAAGACGAGAAGAGCAAGCAAACTTTTCCTATTCAAAGAAAACTGAAAATAATGAGATGACAAGAGGGAAAATAACTTTTCCCATAGAAAAATTAACATTTTCTATCATTGCTAGGTTACTGATTTAAAATCTATATTTCTTGGAATTACATAATTTTACAGTAATCAAGAAATAAATTATTTATTTGTTATTTTATTATTATACATATTTTTTAGAGATTTTAGAAGAAATGTCAAGTCGGGCCAACTCCAGAAGGGAAAAGCCAAGCAATTCAATTCTTTGCTTAAATTTTTACATATAAATAAAAAAATAATACTGTTTACGAACTAGTTAATTTTCATTAAGGTGAAAAAACAATTTTTTTAAATGAAATTTTACAGAACCATTGAATGCCAATATTCAACTTTTTTATCTGATAAAACTTTCAAAAATTAAAAGGCAAAACATTCACTAGGCACAAATTTATAATAAATTAAGTGACACAGATTTTGATAACATGAAATCTTACAGGAATGGAATTGTGTCGGGCTCCCGTGTCGATAGCGGGCTTGGCAGTTTATTTCGACGCTAATGAACAGCAGCCAAGCTCCTTAAATTGCCGCCGGGTGTGCCACTGAGCTAACAATAACGTGGTTAGCGACACATGCCCGGCGGCTGCTGACTGCAAGACCGAAAGAGAGATGCACGCGAGGCCCCGAAAACCGGCAAAAACCTAGCCAATTGTTTCAATACTTTTTATTTAAAACTTATTTTTAATTTCATCTGCAGTTGCCAAAAAAGATAAAACGGTTGCATTTTTGTTAATCAGCGGCGCATAGAGGCAAATTGCGATATGCACGCGCGCGGTGAGGCAAGCGAGCGAATTCACGTTGAACGCTCACTTTGAACAGGTTGCGTTACATTCGCCGGCCATTGTTTGCGAATAATGACACCGTGCATAAATTATGGCCCAATTGTTCTTTGGCAGTTTGAATTTTGCACGTCATGCCAGCCACCTCTCGAGGCGGAATACGGCGCCAGCAATGAAACACGCACCGATTGATTATTGCGACCCCACAATGTGGTGCTTGATAAGAAAAATTTATGGAAAAGAATTTAGCATTATATTATTAATTAAAATTCATGTAAAAGGCATGGAGGCAACCCATCCATATGTCTATTGAAGTTGTTAATGTGACAAGTGAACAACGTGCTTAATATTTTATTAAATGGCAATTAAATGTTAAAATTTTCAGCAACAATATGATTAAAATTAAATAAATTTTTTTTTTTAAATTAGTAGCATAAATTTTGTAAATAAAAAACATAAAAATAAAATAAAACATTGCAAATTACATAATTAAATAAATATTTATAATAAATAGATATAAAAAGTTTTAAACAATACAATTTATATACTTGATTTAAATTTTTTTATACATTTAATACGCATTGGAAGACGGAAATTTGAGTTGCTTAGGTTTTCCAGTGCCATCCTGCTGAATATATGCAGAAGCGCGTGTACGCGAAATGTATTTTACTCGTTTCTCTCTTGTAACCATATACACGAGTGTGTGTGTCGAGCAGCAGCAGGTCTCTTTCTCTCTTAGCAAACGAGACTGGAATACGTATCAGCTCTCGGCTATTTTTTATTGTGAACTGCTCAAATGTGATACAGAGAAGCGGGGAGGGAGCGTACGTACCGCATTTCTATTACTCAGTTGTGCGATATGAAATGCAGTCAAATGCAAAACACGTCGCACCTATCCGCGGAAATAAAATGCACCGCGGATCGAGTTTGAATTTTTGTCTCAAATGTGAAACACGAAGAAATTTTCAGTGCAGCTTATCGCGCGGAGGAAAGTAAACATGCGCTCGTGTCGTGCAATTATCCGCAACGACATCTTTCTCCCTCTGCGCGTCTCGGATTTGAATATAAAGTGGCACTAATGCGCCTGCGATATTAACTCACTTATCTGAAAAGAGACTCACTCGCCTGCCCTTTGGCGAATTTTAATATTTTTTTTCAGTACAACCACTTTCTGACGTACCCGTATCACTTTTTTTAAAGGAGAAGTGACCTTTAAATTTGGAATTTTATGAGATCCATGAATAATTTAAAACTGAGAGTAAATTTAAAATTTGGACAAATGCTGCTTTTGGCTTTTGGATAAATGGTTAAATTCAATTTTTTGGAGTTGATGACATTTTTTTTTTTTGCCAGAGAGACAATTTTATTTCGCGTGTGTTGTGACTTGTGAGCAAGCGAGTCGTCGGAATCAAATTGGGGCGGCAAAGTTCGTGTCTGCTGCAGATTCGGATTTAAATCGAGCGAGCATCGCTTGTCAGAGGAGACGGGAATTTAATTTCGGGCCGACTTGCAGTAGCGCAGCAATCTTTTCAATAGTCGCGCGGCGGAGAATACGAAATGAAATAAAGCGGCAGGAAAAATACTCGCGAACGAGCAAAAGAAAAAGACGCTCGGCGAAGAGCGAGACGACAGAAAGAGAGAAGAAGAAGCAAAGCCAATTGACATCGTCTTGGGATTCCAAGGAGAAAATTTGAATAAACCTTATTTAGTGTCGCAGAATCGAGTTAACAGGCCGGCGGTCCCAGAGGACGGCGCCGCCGCCGCCACCGACTCGCAGCGACAAAGAAAGAAGAAAGAAAGAAAGACAACTGAGAAAAGAGAGAAATACTCTGCTAAAAAAGGCCTGCGTGTTAACTTGATCCCCCGCTTTATGCAAATGATGAAGAGATAATGGCGCCCCGCTGCTTCTACAAGCCGTTCTAATTACGAAACTAATTCAATTACAACACTCTCGCTCTCTCTCCTCAGGTGCTCTCTTTTCTCCGCCGCCTTTTTTTCGACCAGCCAAAAGGGAGGAAGGAAAAGAGTCAACAGCTCACGAGCGGCGCCTGCTAATCTGCTGGCTAGGCAGACCCGCCATGCGTGCCTGCGCGGCGCTTTGCATATACGACACTTGCAATTTAATCGCACCAAATTAATTATCCAGAGCGTGACTCTGCAGCTGATGATCTCGACGAAAAAAATTATAATTTAAATTATTCAGTAATATGACCATTTAAATTAATGTTTAAATACGGGGATGAAAATTAACCGGCTTTATAATGGGAGGAAAATAAAAGTTTTGGTTCAAAATGTTTAAAAAAAAAAATGGATTGAAGTTTTAACTTCTTTTCTAATTTTAGTTCTTATAATATTTATAAAAAAATTAAGTATTTTTTCATTATTTGTTTATATTTTTTTTTTTCAATTCTTTCAAACTAAATGGATGCATTTTGGTTTAAATTTATTTGAGCTGCTCTTTTGCACGGCCTTGAGAGCGATAAAACGCCGTTGCTCCGCCACTTAATCAGGAGAGCGATTTCGCGGCGAGCACCGCATTATTAGTGTGCGCGAGAGCGAGTCAGATGATCACCATTGTAACTTGGCAACTGTGCGAGCCACGCCGCTGGGAAAAGTTGGGTCGGGTGCTCTGCTGTTTTCCGGCGGCTCGGGGTGGAAAAGTAATATGATGAGAGAGCGAGGGTGGCGCTTGCGTGCTGCGCCGACGGACAATGAAAAGAGATTTCCCTTTCGTCACACACACTGCACGCAGGGGAAAAATGTCTGCGCGTCGCACAGGGATTTTCACCAGCGCTTCCATTTTTTCCAATAATCATTCCGCCGAACTTCTTCTTCTTCTTTTGTGCCTTTATTTTTGCGGGGTGGATTTCCGACACTCCATCAGTAGCGATTGGGGAAAAAAACTTACTTTTATTCAACAGAGTGAAATATTATTCATCGGTGGAGATGAATGGCTGAAAATTCAAGTCTTTAAAACTTTTGCTCCCTCGAATGAAGGAAGAAAAGGTCACGGAATAAAAAGTGTGCGGCAAATCTCGTGCCGGTGGGGTTGTGCAAGTTTGCGGCAAAGTTGAAGAGCGCCGAGATTTACCTCTGGCTCGGTGTTTGTCTTGGCTGTTCATTTATGAGAGAGCGACTGCTCGCACCTCTGTGTGCAGTGTGAACGCTCGCGCGCCGAAAAGGAATAAGAAATGAGCGCGGCGCTGTGTCTGTCGCTGAACCATCCGTCCTTCCTCTGT